AGACATTCCTTCCTACTTACTTCTTGCAGAAAACTCCCTCTTCCCTCCAATGCAAGTCTCTGGAGATGCCCAAGCAGTTCACTTGGGAGTTGTGGTTCTCCAGCTGCAATAACCTCCTCAAACTCTCACGTTCCTCCATAGCAAGTGCAATTTTTTTTTCCACATAGACTGGCATGCCAACCGCTGAAAAAGCGAGTTAAGTGACCTTTGACTCTCCAAGATTTCAGGGATTGTCACCAGGAGAAGGCTCCTGGACACACTGCCTTGCATTGCACCATCTTGAGGGTGGAGGTGGCCGATGCCTCATATGGATGTGAGCAGAAGCCCTTCAGAATTTACCTAATGATGGGTTTTGAAGCAGAAGATGTTAAGTTCTCCCTACGAACTATGAAGCATGGAACAAAAAAAAAAAAAATCAAAGCTCTACGATATTACACCCCTCTCCTTGAGGGGGTCTAGTCAGACCAGAAACACTATTTGAGTCCCTGACTGCCCACAGCACTAAGTCCCACCAAGAGCTTCCCCCCTCCTTCCCAAACACTGCACTTTGGCATATTCACGTCACTACAGGATGTGACTTCACTGAAGAAGGAATTAGAGTCTTCCTGTCTTCCCTTACCTGCTTTTCACCAGCTAATATCAATGCTCAAGTCTGTTATCCCTTCTCATTCTGCCATGTAAAAACACACATTGCTTACTTTGGCATAGCCTCGGTATCAGAGCCAGGCTTGGTTATGATGAACCTTTGTTAAAATGTGCACGTATTTTAACTGGAGCTCATCAGAACCACATCTAGGAAAGATACAGAGAGCTGATCTTAGTTTCCATGGTATTCTGTGCTTTGTTTTGTATACATTTAATGTTCCTAGTTTCTGTGGAATAATCGCATTCTCATTGTCTTGTCCTCAGTAAAACTCAATTTCCTTTTAATTAATTAAAATAATAATAAAAAATCAATAAACCAATAAACTGTTCCTTCTAGTGACTCAACGGGGACATGTCCAGGTAGTCTACCATGGTGTTCCTCATTTATCCAAGTTATTGCTTAGCAGGATCCTTAATCCTCCAAATCTGGATTAACTAGAAGCATATGTCACACTTATCTTACCTTGCACAATTCTTAGGACCCAAATCAGACGTTACAGATTTTCCCTTTCGCACAGAATTTGAACAGCAGCTCTCTATTGTCCAGTTGTTCTATTTATACTTCTGGAGAATTCCTTGCCCCTGTAAAAAACACACTCGTTTTGCAAAACTTGCTAGAACTTCACTCAGTCACTTTAAAGCTACTTCCAGCACTTTCTTCAACAGGTGAGAATTTTTACCACCTTTCTCCAGCTGACACCACGCTCTCTTGCAACAGCCTCTAGGATGAGCTTTAACAGCAGGCCTGCAAGACACAGCCCCTCTCTCCAGTCTAACGACTCCTCATAATGATAAATTGATGTCTTATTTTTAGTTACAGAACTATTTCACTCTGCACCATCAGCTCAGGTTAATTCTGCCTAGTTCTGGTGATCTGTGACACAATTTTCAAGTTTTCCACCTTGTCTTGAACATCTCTTTTGCTGGCAGGACCAGATTCCACAACTCCAACCAGCAGAGAGAGACAACTGCAGGATAAAACTTCTTCATGGAGATTACCCACCGCTGACAAGTTTGTTATTTTTCTTTTATGGTTTCATTTACAAATGCAAAACCACAATTCAAATCCTTTAAGTCCAGCTATGTCATTTTTTTCTTTATTTAAAGTTGTGTTAATCTATTGTCCTCTTCATATTCACTGTAATCCAGGGGGTAGATCATTTCATATGAACTATTTCAACAGCATGTTTTCAATGCCTTGTCTTACAGTCATTTACCTTCAACTGAACTTTCAGTATGTCCCCAGGCAACTGGGTGATCAGAAATAATTTCCAAGGGGACCATGTACATTGATGTGTCATTATGCTAAACTAAGTACTTCTCATCTATTTTTACGAAAGACTCATACTTCCAACTTCCCTTATTAAAAATAGCTTCCATTTTTTTCCTCTTTTGGAGATTTTACATTCAATTAGCTGAAAGCAGAAGAGATCTGTTCACTTCATTGCCAGCTCCCCAGTTTGAGGAAGAGCAGGAGAATATCTAATAGGAAGGTTTTTCATGACAAGATTTCTCTGCCAAGGATCTGGGTTTCAGATGTCTTGATAAGGAGATGTTCCCCCACTGCAGAACACGTGTGTCCTTAGAAGTAGCTGACACAGCAGCTGCTTCTTTCTTCTTCTTCTAGAGAATCCCCTGCTGATGTAAAGCATGCAACTTGGAGCAACTCTCTTCTGCATATTTCAGAGTTTGAACATACAGCAGAGAACAGGTATTTACATCAGCACAAACACTTGGCTTCTTAAGAAACCTGTTAGCCTGCGTAATTATCTACTTGGGATAGGATCCCCTTCTAAAATGCAAATATTTGTACTCAGTACAAATGTAAATATTTAATAGAAAAGTCAACCTAAAGATGATAATGAGCCATGTCTGTAAGTTGAGATACTGTTACTGAACATGATGGATATCAACTCAAATTACTACATTCAAAGCCACTCACAGCACTGTAGCACACCAACAACCCAGTTGCTAGAGAGCAGGCACTTCCCTCTGCCTCAAAATACCAGCATCCCAGAGGCCATGGCCATGCAAAGGGCGAGGAAAACCTGGTGAAATCCTTGGGCTCCCTCCTTTAGAAAGAGACCCCTTGCCCAAGGCTCAGCTCATGTCAGAGCTACAGCTGAAGGTGCATCATGTTGCTACCGTTTTCTGCCACTTCCACGGCTGGGGCTCAAAGCTTGATCAGACAAGGCTCTATGTTGTGACACGCTGTAGGTTCTAAATTGCACAGATTCAAACAGCTTCACTGCACTTCCCTTTTATTCTTGTAAGGAAGTAGGAAGCCTGAAGCGGTCAGGACACTCCACCTCTTCCACTCTTCCCTCCCAGAAAACCATCTCTCATTAGCTTCCCCCACCTCATGTTACCTGGTGTCCCACAGCACCTTCCTCCCCCAGCTCCGCTCACACGGACTGCACAGTTTGCTTACCACACACTCTCTATAAGGGCAGCTGATTTCCCTCCCAGGCCCAGAAACACCCATTTATCCCGCTGATGGCTGCCATGGGCCCCCCAGCAAGGCAAAGACCAGGAACACTTCCCAACAGGCAGCCCCCCCTCCTCCTCCCTGCCACTGCATCCCTCACCTGGTCACACAGGGCAGGTCCTCCACTCCAAAGCTCTGCCAGCCAACAACTCTATCAAGGAACAGGTGAAAACAACTAATTAATTGAGCAGAACATCTGAATCTGCCCTATAGCAGCAGAGCTTGCAAAACTTTCCTTAAATTCTCACTAAGGCCTTAGTGATCTGCTTCTACAGTGACCTGGAAGCTATTTCATTTGCTTGATTAATCCTCCTGTAGTCCTCAATAAGGAGGTTACAATAAAAATGAAAGATTTCTGATAAAGCTTCTGTGGTTACATTACAAACCAAATGCAACTATGCCAGACAGGAAAATGAATGAGTATTAAAAGCGAGGCTGACGTGAAGTTACTACTGACTCTTTCCAATACCATCAATCTGTTTTGCCCCTTTCCGCCCCAGGGAAAAAAAAAAAAAAAAGTAAAACATTAGTTTATTTCAATCTTTATTATAAACAATTTTGTAGTTTCCAGAATGTGATTTCTACATACTAGATAACAAAAACATCCTTAGTTGAATCAGTTTTATCTTTTACTAGATTAAATCAGAACCAGCAAACCAGAAATATTTATCATCTTTTAGATATTTAGTCTATTGTAAGAAAAAACAAAAAACAAGAACAAAAAAATTTACAAACAAAGAATTAGAGATACACATTTTATCCTATATACATAAGCAGCTGTTGAAACTCTGGACAACAGTTACAAGGAACTTCTTTGCACATAAATAGATTTTTAAAAGTATATTTCTTTCATGTGTATACAAAATTATTTTGCTTTCAATACTGAGTCAAGTTCTCAGAGACATAAACAGGAATTTTCTAAGAGATGGATTCCCACGTATCACTTACAGTGTGGGCAGTCATGCACCAAAAGATGTATTAATAGAATTTACACAGCATTCCTATACAATACTTGGTCTCTTTACATACATACTTACAAGTCACTTTTGTACATGAGATGCCATCTCCGTAATGGAAACGGCATCTCCCCTGAAAAGGCTGCATTAGTTCCAGTGCTTGTATAAAACAAAATAAAGATTCAAAAGGCAGCACCACTTGGCTTTGGGAGTCAGGGATCAGCAGAGCTGCCACTCCAAGGAGGGCAGCTCCACGGGCCCCTGGGCTTGGACAGTCCCAGCAGGGAAAGCTGAAACATGACCCTTGGATACCATGAACTCTAGAGCAGTGCCATGGCATGAGGAGAAGCTGCGTTAGCACATCTGTGATGAAGGCCACGCACTTTTGCTCTTCAGGTTTCTCTTCAAGCTACTGCAGGTGTCTTCTGTCTTCTGGGGAGAAGTTTGGCTTTTACATGACCTTTCAGTATGGTTCAAGTTATTTATTGGGGTAGGGAGGGTTGCTGGGGGCAAGACATGACACACATGACCTGTGAAACTCTTCCTTAATGCAGGTAGGAGGGTGTGGAGTGCTGTGATGACAAGGCAGGCCTAATCTTCAGAAGAGCTTGCAGGTGCCTCCTGGAGCAGGGGAAGCTCAGAACATCTGAGAAGCAGGCACAAAGCTGACTGCAGGGTTAGGTCAGGCTTCCACTTTCTTTTAGGCACTGTAGTGTCAAAGGAAGAGCCAGGGTTTTGCTTCTTATTTCTTTAAAACATAGCTTCTTATTTATTTAAAACATAGAAATGACTCTGCTCAGGCAGTAGGAGAACACGGAGATGAGTGTGCGGGTGTCCCCTTCAGGCTCTGGCGTGATGTGGAACGCAGGGCAGGCTGTGCCAAACACACGGAGCGCTGGCTGCCCTGTGCCTCACACGCACCCGTACTCGTACCACACCGTCTGCTGCTCCCCCTGAGGCTCCACAGCGTCGGGAGCACCGGCGGAGCCGCTTCCTCTCAGGGGCTCCTCCATTGCCCCAGTGCTGCACTCAGGCAGCTTGCCTGGGCACTTGGCATGCAGGGCATCCCCCTGGCCTTGTCCCAGGGAAGCGCTCCCCTCAGCGCTGCTGGGACTGGCTCTGGCAGGGGTCACAGCGCCCACCTCCCCAGAACGAGGGGTCGACCTGGGCTTGACTTTAGAAGGAGTGTGCGGAGCAGATGAGTAGTGTGGCCCAGGGTTTGCTCGCTCCTGCTGCTGCGCATTCAGATTGCTGATGGATGCAGTGGGCGAGATGGAGAACTGATGGAAGGAGAGCGGCCGCTCGTCCTTGGGCGGCGCTAGCGACAGGCGCCTCGCATCGAGCTGCCGACAGCGAGAATCAACAGCCTGCACAGAGCCCGCCATGTTCGCAGACTGCGGCCTCTCCCTCAGGGCACCCTGGGAGCTGGCTGGCACAGGAGCCCGGCAGGCCTGGCTGACCGCGTCCCTGGCTCCACGCAGCTCTGCTGCTGGCCTCGGGGGGCTCTCCTGCCTGTAGGCGTCTGGGCCGGTGGCTCGGAGCAGGTCTGCGGAGGCCAAGCTGAACGCCCTGCTCAGGGAGGTGCTCTGGCGGCTCGTGCTTCCAGGCTGTTGGGGCTGGGCCGTCTGCCGCATCCCACTCCCTCCGGAGGGCTGCTGCTGCTGCGACGTGTGGGGAGGCCTGAGTGATCCCTGGGAGCCCATGGGAGGCTCAGGTTCTGCCTGCCTGGGGTTTGGCTTCCCGTAACTCCCAGCCTTCGGCATTCTTCCTTCCTCACTGGCGGGGGCCATCTTGACGGTTGGAGCAACGTGACTAGTGGGCATCCTAGCAGCCTCCTTTCTGGATGAGGCAACCAGCAGGTTTCCAGTAGCTGAATGCTCATTTGGCTTCCTAAAATAATCACTCAGCAAATCATCCTGGCTACAGGAGGTGTCCTGGTGTGAGAAAATATGCAAATGAAATTAATGACAATTTTGTGTAAAGAAACCCACAGAGCTTAGTGGTCAAACAATTTTTTCTTCCACTCATTTACCCTAAAAAGACCCAAATACAACCATGGATTTTATATCTAGGAGTTGGAAACAGCAGATAAAAAACACTTAAAATGGATATATATCCAAATCAAAGAGTTATATGCTCATCATAATTAGTTTGTGACAGGCTTGTTTGCCTGATTAATTGTCATAAACTAAAAGAACTCATCTCAGTAGCAACCTGGACAGCAGCTCTTTTGCTTCCCTTGACATCTGCCATTGTCACCATGGCACCGATGTCATATTAATGACACTAGTCATTAATATCAGCAAGTATCAGTGATGGCCTGTCATTTTCAAGGATGCAGTTCCTCTGGATAACACACTACTGTGGCATCAGGGATGTAACAGAACACCCCTTAATGTGCTAGTACTGCAAGAAAGATTAATTGACTCTCTGTTCCTTCCTCCCACTGCCAACATACTACATCTATTAAAGGCTGCATGTACAATACACCGAAATACACAAAAAGTAATTACAAAAAATGGGAGAAATAATTGCTTGACCAGAATTAACTTGAAAATTTCCAAGTCAGATGGTTATCCTGGCTGTGAAAGAAACATACAGTGAAAGTATCATGGGGATGGTCCATGCAACCCATCAGCTGTCACTATTAGTATGTTCATGCTGGGTACTGTTAAAGGGCATGCTGTCTGTATGAACAATGTGCTGAAACAAGCTCATGAGGTTTATTTCTCTCCTATTCTCTAGGCAGCATGCTAAGGCTTAAAATATTAATTTCACTGAAGTTTCAAAAGTTTATTCCAGTTACAAAACTCAATTCCCTAGAAGTGGACACTATCAGTGGCAACAGCGGTTAAAGCACAGCTAGAAGATTTCTATGCTCATCTAAACGTTAAAGGGTTAGGGTTATATTTAAACTGTTGTTGTGCCCATTAGCATTACAGAATTACTAAACCTCAAAAAAATATTATGTTTCTGAATGAGCACTGCAAACTATAAGCAATTAATGCAAGTGATCTGGCAGCATTAATTTTTCGAGTAACAGCCAAGAGCTGCAACACACTTTTGATAGGTATTAATTATGCTAAAAAAAGCTGTGGTAAGTTGGGAGCTGTTGCCTTCGTAGCAAGAAGGACAGATACCCTGGGGATATACAGTGAAGTAGATCTCCTGTTTCCCCTGCCTGTTCTGTGCCTCACGCTGTCACGACATGAATGACTGAGGATTGATTCCAGTGACTGTGAAGCCTCCTGATGGAAGGAAGGACATAGGGAGTGGCAAAAGGGAAACAGCGCATCAGCTTCTAACAGAAATTGGTGCAATGAAATCATTTCAGTCTCATTTAAAGTGCGTCGACACTGAAAAGGAACAAGGATGACAGAAAGAGTGAAAATGAAGACACGGTCACGTAGTTACAGACAAGAAAACAGAAAACTCAAATATTTAACGTACGTAAAAGCTAAAAAATGTACTTTGCAAGAGAATAGGAGATATTTTAATATTGGTCTGAAACCACAAGGACCAGAATTCAAGATCATAATATACTGCTGTTCATTTCAATACTGCTACTGAAGCATTCAGGAAACAGGAACATCTGCTCGCTTACACTGTCAGTGGGCTGGCCTTAAGACAGTAACATGACTAATACTGCACCACTTCACTACTAAACAGCACGTCTAAGTAGTAAGTGACAAATGCCATCTAGAAAACAAACAGTTCATTTCTGACAACGTGCTGCAGAGCATGGCATGTTCTTGGAGTCACTGAGCCAACAGAACAGAACCAACCAGCACACAAACATGCAGGATGGAGAAAGCACTGCAAAAGTTCTGCAGGAAGGAAAATACAACCCAAACACAGCAACAGTACTTTCTCATTAGGATAGGTTTTTAAAAACTGCATTTTTACTTCAACTCAAAGTTACTGTTAGTTTTAACTTCTAATTACAGATCTAGCTGCTGAGAACTGCAGCTGAGAGTTCTTAATCTAATTCTATGGAAAAGCATGTATATAGTTCACCAGTTCACAGATTAATATATCTGGAGCTCAGAACTGCTGACATAATAGCAGAGCTTAATTACAAAGAAGTCTTCATTTCCAAAAGCCCCAGCAGTCCAATATATATTAACTGTAATCAAATTACCTGACCTGCTATAGGCAATACAACAAAATAAGTATGCTGTGTAAAAGGTAAACTTAATTCTTGCATCTGCTTCATTCACTGAACTATTGATTTGCAAAACTTGATCGTTCTCTGCGAGTTCCACAAGCATTCCCCAGTTTGTGGATGCCCTCACATCCAAAAACCAGCTCTGAACAGTTTTGCAGGATGAGATGGGTTACTAGTCCTGTTTACTTACACTTGGTGGGGACAGCCTATTGCTCTCTTCCAGGAACTCTTCCAAAGTTACCATCTCACTGCCAGGTGAGGCAGAGCGCTGCCTACCCACGTAGGACGGGGTTGCCGTGCTCTTCTGAGGCCAATCATAAGAGCTTGAGCCGCTCCTGTGGAAGGAAAGCTCACGCCTACTGCTAGGGCCTAAGATGGTCGAAACAGAGTGAAAGGAATAGCTGTCTCGGAGCAAGGCTGGTGCCTCTCTGCTTGTCACCATATCTTCACTGCTGAGGCTCTCGGTTCTACCATGGATATGGTCTGAGGAACCTGAGGAGAAACATAAATGTCATTAAAAACGCTGCTTTCCCCTCATTTTGGCAAACTTCTCACTGAGAGATGAGCTCTATGATACAGGGTCATTTCCACACACAGTAGATGAAGAAATTTTTTTATTATTTTCTTCTTCCACAAAACTCGACTCAAGGATAACTTTGAACAAATAGTGAATATCTTACAACACAAAGAATAGCACTAACCAGGTAAGGAATTTTATCTCTATGGCTAAGTCTTCAAACGTAACTGAGAAACAGAAAGGAGTAGAAAGTAGCTTTGCTTTTTTTCTGCCCTATGAGCAAGGTCAGTTCTGAAGTGTGAACAGCTGCTCCTCCAAGGTATGTGGCTGTTGGTGGCCCTTGGTAAGCGAAACAGCAAGAAGGAACTGACACAATGAGAAGTGCTCCAGTAGGACCCCTTTACTCCCTCTGTGTCTGGAGAAGTTCTCCCAGCCTTGGCTGGGTGAATCTGCCAGTGGTAAAGCAGGAACTGTATTCTGCCACAGAAACAAACCTGGTTTAGCCTTTAAAGACACAGAGTTTTAACACATCTACAGAGCACGCTGATTCTCTACACAAAGCTGTGTAGAAAGAACAGCAGAGATGTGTTTTTAGAAAACAGGAGTTTGAGTGGCCTGCTACTTCCCACAGCGTGATGCCAAACTGAAGCAAAGGTAGATTTTGCCTCTAAATTCACCCCTTGCCAGAATCAATCTTGGATAAATGTTTCTTAACAGTAGTGTTTTGATTCCTCAGATAGTCAGGTCCGGATTACATAATCATTGCAATCTCAAAACAACAGTTTTCAAATTTCTTTGAAAGAAAAAAGAGCATTTTGCATACAATTCATTGTAATTTCACCCCCTGCCTGTCAGTACTCAGCAATAAAAGCTCTAAAAGCTTTACCTTTCAAGTTGAGGGGTGAGCTACTGCTGGATGCGTTTCTACTGCTCTCTGAACTGTTTGGCCTGGACACTGAAAAACAAAACAGATATTTAACAAGCACAGCTTGAGTTTCTTTAAATTTTCTGAAAGACTTGGCATTGACCAACTTACTGAAAATAGGATCTAAGTCACTTTGGAAATATCAACAACATAATATGCACAGAATGACAAGTGTAATATATACCAGATAGCAGTGATTGGACACAAAGGAAAACATTCTCATTTTTTAAAGGCGGGTGTTCAGAAACATCTCATTTTCTCCCTCATTTTTTCACGAAGAAAAAAGTTCTGCATTTTGCTTCTAAATCAGCTATACACAGAATGGTACTGCTGTGCCACTGTTTGTGCCTTCTGTCCCTTCCCCCTGCCAAATCTTTTACTGCTGATTCACTCCCTTCGGGAAGAAATTAACCTTTGTTTGGAAAAACAAGCATCAAATCTGTAGGGCATGCATTAAAGCTACTTTTGCTGTGCAAGTCAATTTGTTTCAGCATTAGCAGTATTTTTGAAAATTTATTTTGGGTAAACATCCATTTGAAGGTTCTCAGGAGAAAAATAAACTATTTAGGTTCACATTCCCAACATGCCTTTGTGTTACTGCACCTCATTCTATTATGTTTGTTTAACTAAAACGCTCCAGGACAACTCACGTGGATGCAAATAAAACAAGTCTTAATGTAAAGAGCTAGAGCATTCTTAATGCTTCAAACTTACCATGCTGCCTGGTGCTTGAAAACTCTACCTCAGGGGACTGCTCACATAGATTATCTTCTGAATTATAGCCTAGAAAGGACATGATACTTAAATAGGCAATATTAAACACAGGAAAGGCAATCCTTCATGACAGTCTCCACAAATTCTTGCAATGTAAATGACTGAGGTGATTGAGAGGGTTTATAGAGCCAGGATTGAGCCAGCCACCCTCTAACCACTGCTATGAATCACTGGGCAGGGATCAGGGGAGAAGTGACTCATACACTCTCACAAGGTCTCTCAAGCATTACCAGAGTAAGGGAGCCTGTATCTGATCAATTAAATCACTGAGCAGATAAAGCAGGAGCCGAAACACTCCTGAGCTCTGTCTTTCGCACTTGCTTTCCACCAAGAGCCACGTTTCCCCCAGGCGGGAGCTACCAGGAGCTCCGGCACGGCGCGGAGGGCCGGCGCACGCACCTCGCGCTCTGCTCGGCAGCCTGCCCACGGGGGTGGAGGTGCGCACGTGCGCGGCTGGGGCCGGCCTGGCGCCCGGCTCCGCACAGCAGGGCTTCGCTGCGCACTCTGCTGCCCCTTCAGCGTTGTCACTGCTGTCTCCATGAGGGGAATTCCTCTTCTGCTTTAGGTCCGTTAGCACTGAGGGAAGAGAGGTACATGAGCCAATGCCAAGCAGCCTAAGGAGACTTGTAGTTATCCACCCATATAAACACGACAAGCAGGCACAAAAAAACTGCACGACAGAGGCGCTACTTTTGCAAGCTTTTCCATCAACAGTTCAGTACTGGGTAGGAAATATCTGCCACCAGTTTTTCAATCGTGTGCTCTTGGTAAGGTGTGGGAGTGACAAAGGCTGCTTAGTGCCAGTGGGAAGGTTGATATTATACATGCAACAGCTACCATGAAAGGAGGAAGAAAAAGGAACAGAGATGTGAATGCAGAAAACATAATTGAGGTGTGAAATTTCTTTAACATTGTTCCTTGCAGGCACATTTTATAAGCACTTTAGGGATTAAATAGAATAAGGAAACCGTAACAAGAGTCATACTCTTACTCAAAGAGAAATAGTCCTGATTTGAAAATTATCTAACATGATTGACATACTAAGCAAATTGCTTTCCACTTTACATCTTTGCTGTGATAAGAACTCATTCTCTACAGGGTTAAAACTCTGCTGCTCTTATGATGTTTTTTTCCTAGTGATGAGGCAGATTAAATTTTCTTCTATTTTGTGTGTGTCTTCAAATGTTAGATACCAACTGAAGAAATTAAAGAATTTACTATAGAAAACAGCCTTAATGAGATGCAAGATACTAGTTTCCTATAATTTTTTGACAAACATGGGTAACAAATATTAATTAAATGCTGAAAACAAGCAGAGCACAGTGGTCAAGACAGACTTGCAGAAACAAAAGACAACCAGTTAGTTTGAAGCACAGCGCAGCAACAAAGCTGTATTAGAGAAAATGGACCAAGTTACTGCCGACCTAGATGACTTTTGGAAACTTTTTCAGGAACAACAACTGCTCCTGCAGTCTGAGAGCCCATAGCACAGGGTCTGCTCTAAAATCCTATTTCTAAATCTCTAAAAATCCCCAGATGGGTGCCTGCATCCTCAGAGGTGCCTTGGAGGCAGCACACAGCAGAGTAAGAGGGGACCAGAGCTTCTCTACCACCCAGGGGACTGAGATGCACTTTTTTCTTCTTTCCACACAAAATCCTCTCAAAATCAGAACAACAAAAACTGAAGCCTGATGCTCAATTCAAGATGAATTTTCATAGTTGGAATTGTAAGGTCTCTCTAAATACCAGCTTAGAATTTGAGTATCAAAATAGCTTGTGGAGAAGATTTTTTTCAAGTAGCTTCCACTCTATATTCATAGCTAGACTGTTTGAAAGCCAACAAGGATGTTAAAAAACGGTATTTTTACACTTAGCTGCAGAGAATATTGGAGGCTTCTCCAATATTTGAAATTGCTTTTGTTAGGTTTGAACGTCAGCAGGGCTAGAACGTTGTAAAAAGCACAGCAAGAGCCAGTTCAACATTTAAGTAGACACGATGCAAATAGTGATTGCAAGAAAATACTGAAGCAGTAGCAATTGCACTTACTTATAACATGCACCACAGCCAATATACATACGCAAACTGTATGCCATGAGGTCCCCTAAGTGTGCTGCATTGAAGAAATGATCCACAGTGTGCCATAAGGATTCATCTTCTACAGGAAAACTTAAGTCCATGTTCACTAATCTGTGCTTTTATTTAGAGTATTGCAAAGACATGCTGAGTGTTTCCTATTAGGTGTGTGTTGTTTTAAGGTACGTGGGTTTTTTTATTTAAAATATTTGTTAGAAATAAAGATAAATGCTAAAGAAAGTGTTAGAAATCTCCCAGTTCTGAGAAAGAAAGAGGTTCATTAGGAGAGGATGGGATGTCGGAAGAAGACCAGAACCGGAGCCGATTAGAGAGAGACTGATGATTCGATGGAGACTTAGGAGACTTTTCTTTATCCTTGATTTTGCTTCTCAAAAAGGCAATCTTTTTGCGTGGAGCAGCTAAATTGTTATCACCCAGGCATCACAAAAAGAAGAAAAAAAAGGGACAAAATGTAAATAAAATGTAAATGTTTAAAACAGATAAAGAGAACACAACTAGTGAAAAATGAAAAAGGCTAAACAAAGACTAACACACAACTTGAGACTCACGTTAACAGTCAGTACAATAAGTATAAACAACTCCATTATGAACTAACTGTAAAATCTCCAGAAATATATTTATATTAAAAAAGCTATGCTATGCTACTTAGCGTAGCTTTCAATATATTGAAATAAATTTCAAAATATTGAAATTTCCTTGATATCCTCTAGGCTTTAACACTGATACTCATCACCTCAACATAAGCAACTTCCACATTACATCAAAAATGATGACGCCCTCAGAGAGATCTCTGCTATCTCTGGTGCTCGCTGAGGGCCTGGTTCTGGGGAAACACAGTCCCAAATTGCCAGGTGGGAACTCTGCATGCATGCTGAACACATTTAACATCTCCCGTAACTGTATGGATGATTTAAGACATGCATTTGAAGTGAAGAAATAGAATGCAGAAAGGGGAATAAAAACAAACAAACAAAAAAATCCCTAAAAAAACACACCTAATCCACAATGAAGCAAACCCAACTCTAAACCAAGTGTACGCTTGAGGGTGACAGCAGTTCTATCCTCCTCTCCTGTCCCCACCACTTCCCAGGGAGAAACAGACATTTTAATAAGGACTAAGCTCAAAACTGCTTGCTTAAATATAATCCTAGAGGACAAAAAGTTGTAGAGAGATTGATAGATTACTCTCTATTGAGAGTCACAGTAACAGAATAAGGTGAAACTTGGTCTATTATTTTATTATCCAAAAAGTTCACATCTTGTTTATTTATATTTTAACATAAATTCTTCCTTCTGCTCTTCCTATAGCATCCCAAAAATCATTTCTGCATTTCACATTAAGAAATTCTTAATTCAACTCCAGTGAAAACACTGTATCAACCAACGAAATAATCAAAAGATTTTCATAAATTAGCATTTTCAGTTATTTCTTTTCTGTGTGCGCCACCTCCTGGCAGTCGTTGTTAAGACCAGCTATTATCCATTTAAAGAGTAGATGTTAATGAGCTGTAGTATTACCGGGACCAGCTTTAAGTTGCTTTGTTACAAAGCCTCTGTAAATGAAATACTCCCAATGTATTTATTCAGCAACTTGCAATAAATTCAAATAAACCACGAAACAATGTACAGAAGCTGAAGGATCATAAAATAGATAAAATGGAACACCTCCCCACAACTAATTACTAAAAAATAACATGATTGAGTACCAACATGTTCTATATATTATCCTTTACAAAAAATAATCTCTTCCTGTGAATCTGAGTATCTCTTACCTTTGTTTGAAGAAGCCCCAGGGTTCGTCCTCTCTTCCATGGAGTTGGACCCTTGAGAGGTGTTATCCGGACCATCTTGTTGATGTTTCAGTTTTTGGGAGGCAGATGGGGAGGCTACTGTTTCTGGGGATTCAGGATGCCAGGCAGAACTCTCTGCTGATGATTTCAACCGCTCCCTTGTAGCCTCTTTCTTTGGCTTGATTAATTTGACTAAGGCTCTGGCTCCAATCCAGTGGTTTTTCCTGACAAAGCAGGTTTTGTGAATGGCATCATTAAATACTTAAAAAATATTCTTCGAAGTTTGCAACTGTACTAAAACCACTCTACACTGATTTTTAATTCTATCATGAATTGTTTGGAAAGATGCAGCACAAATTTCACAGAGTTTGTAATTCGTTTCTCTCCCCCAATGTCAAAATTATTTTACAGAAATATTAACTTCAGCAAGCAAAATGTGAGAAAGAAAACTGTCCCTACCACTGCTATAAATCAGAACTATGGACCTACACAAGACATTTTAATAGTGTGAAAACTCTACTACCTGAACAGACTAAGAAGTGAAAATATTGAAGTTGCTTTAGAGACGAATAAACAGCAGCTCTCCAAGCTCTGTTCCTGCTTAGTGTCTCACCATTGCTTGGGGATGCTAGCCTAGCATGCTGGTGATATGTCTTTTGTTTTTTCACCTAGAATAGTCAAACTATCCCTGGTGTGGGTAGGATGAAACATGGGCACTTATTGCTCAGCAAGCTCTCACAGCTACTCTCCTCCATTAATTCAGAGAGCAAGAGGCAGCAACCGACCGACCATATATATGCTGAGGCTCTAGTGAGAATGCTTAACAGTTGCTAGCAGACCATTATTTTGGCAGGTAGCAGTTTCATATAATGGCCAGTCTGGTTATTGTAACTAACCAGTGAGGTAATGGTAATTATGATGACCAATTGGCTCTATTCTAATTAACACTGTTAATTCTAATATAAAAACACATCAATGTGTGGACTACTCTACATCAGTGCAGCCTAAAGCATGGGTCTCCAGAATGACAGTGAAGACAGAAGCAGAGATATCACCAATTTGTCCTGATTTCAGATAGAATTTCAATTCCCTCTAGGTATGTGGAGTCCTTTCTCACCCTCACAAATTCATACATCAACAGCATACAGGAACCCGAAGAGAACTTACTTTTTTGGAGTAGGATCATAAAACTTATACTGGTCCATTATCTTCTCTTCAAGCTTTTCCTTGTGTCTCCTTAAGGCATTTAATTTATCACTGTGAAAGAGAAAAGCGTGTTCTGAACAACTCACAAAATTGAGCATGATCAAAACCCTGAAAGCCAGATGTCACAAGGAAAACAAAAAAAAAAAACGAAGAATTATCTTCCTATTATAAGGCCATGCATACACCTCAATCCCACTGAGCCCATTCACTATCTGTTTAGAGAGGGCCAATGTAAAACCTCTCAAACCTGCTGATGAGTGACATCTTGTTCAGCCAGCATAAAACGGTGTAATAAAAATAGATTTATGCTAGATTAGTTGCAAATATTCCCCCCACACAGACTTTTTTTTTGACTAACAGATGTCAGGGATAATCTTGTGTTGTTTTTTAAATTTGCTTGCTGATTCTTCACCCTCATTTCCAGATCACTGGCAAATATCTTGGTTGTTCAGATTCTTACTCGCTCAGTTTGAACTTTTCTTCTCTGTGATAACTGATTTTTTACTCCTGCTCCACTTACTTGGTTGTAACTAAGGAAATTAATAACATTTTGTCTTTTAAAAACTATTCTGGTCTCCTGCAAACAATGTCAAAGCACCTTCAGAAGTGGCGTTTACACTTACTGATTCTTATTCATTGATTTATTAACATCACAGAGGATGACAGCAATCCCATAAGCAAGAAGCTTTTTTCAGCCAAGGAGCAGAGCTAGTGTGTTGTCAACACAGAACTATCAAACACCTGCATGAACGTATTTGGAGTATGCTTAAGCCATAATCAGTTGCTTTCAGCAAACAATTTAACACTTTGTCTGTGTTATCCAATACTGAAATAAAACCTTGTCAGTAATTTCCATACCATTCTGAGGCGTTTGGACTAAAACTTAGGAATACACTTCTTTCTCTGTAGTAAATAAGGGAAATTCACTGTAGTGAAAACAGGATTCTTTGCAAATATATGATAGGTTTGAAAAAGAGCATATTACATGTGCCACCTTCTGATTCAGGGACAGGCAGATATATGTTGAAATCTAAATCCTTGAGAACTTCACAGGAAACACCAACGACCCAAACTAAGAGAGTTTTATTGCTTGCACTTCTCCAGTAATCTAATATATAAAATGACTCTAGCAAGTGGTTTTAGCATTCCATTTCTTATAGTTAAATTTTCCACATCGGCTCATCTGTATTACTTGAAAAGAGCTGTGAATGAGAAGTGCTGTTCAGGTGTCTCTCCTGAACATCCTCTGGAATAAGCAGTGCAAAGAAATTAACCTAGCTTCTGCCCTGTACATACATCTCCTAAACATCCCCTCTTCCAGCCAGGCGTCAAGTAAATCTACCAGTCTCCAGCCTGTCCTCCTACTCCTCATAAATTACTAATTTTGTATATTTATCTATAAGGTTTCCTTAGATTTCACAAGCTAAATCTATTTTCTTACATGTACTGTTTCTGCTCCTCATGATACTGCTCCTTGTTCTCCATGTTCTGCTCCAGCAACATCTGATTCTGCTGGCTCAGCATCTGGATCTGACTCAGGAGATGATGGTTCTCTTCTTCCAGATTTCCCTTCAGACGCGAGAGCAGCTGTTAAACACAAAGACAGATGAATCTCCTCTCTGCAGCTGAGTTCCCAGGAAACGTATCATAATTAAGCTAACACAGTAACAGAAGAACCTGGGACAGCAACTGCTAAATTTTTATGTAAATGGAGGTGCCATTACAACCATATACCTTGAACTGCTATTTACAACGTGCCAAAAACTTGACACCCTAATAGGAACCTAGCAGCACACGTGCTTAGAGCGACTCACCTCGCAGTGGTTATCCAGCTTTGTCAGCGAGATGTCCATGGACTGGTGCTGTTCTTTCAGCTCATCGTAGCGAGCCTGCCAACGATTCAGCTCTAGCTGAGAGTTGTTCAAGGAAGTTTTCAGCTCCTTAGTGTGTGAATGCAGCCCTTCATACTCTGCCTTTAATTGGCTGTGCAAGAAATTCACCCTGAACACGAAGGACACTTGCTTAGGAAGAATAGCTCATAGGAAGGACCTCGCATTCAAAAGGTCACACCATCAGTGTGCAGCCATCACAGAATCTAAAAATTCCTTGTCATTTGAATTTACTCCCGAGCAGAAAATAAAAATGCTACAGAGAAGTGATAACAGCATTATAAAATATACCGGATCTACAACAGAATTCAAAGGAAAATATACGGAATGTGCTAGATACTTCCTCAACATGTAGGACATCACATATTTCCGAGGCACAGAGCACAGTTACATAAAGCCAGCTCTATTCTGCATAAAAAATATTCAGCAAATTATTTTTCTAATGCATTAAATACAAGTGGGTCCTGTACTGTAAGATATTGTAAAGTTACAAGATGATAGAGCAGAATTCTGTTAAAGCTTTTGGTAAATTAAAAACAGCTACTATTCCTGAAGACATAAAATTAAATTAACATATAAACAGACAAAAGTAAACTGTTATCTGCTGACAGATCAGCTAAGCCTTCTCCTCTTCCAGCACTGCAACAACTTTCCTTGACACTATTAGAAAAATAAAGACCCCAGCTGAAAAAAGCAAGCAGGTTTGCAAAGCTGCAGTGCTCTGCAGTACCTTACAATAAGAAAGCATAAGAAACTTAACAGGTAATTTTTAAACGTGACTCAATCTGACATTGTCTGTACTGGTCATGACCTTGCACCTTATTTGTTCCAAAGTTTTTCTTGAAGCATCTTTGTAGTACTGAACTGGTCAAAAGGCCGAGTGGCCCAGCAGGGACATGGGCCAGGGTGTTAGGTTTTGCTCTTTTCTGAGCAAGCATAACAGAAGGGTTTTAGCAGGAATAAACCCAATGATCATATGAATCACCAAGTTCAGTATATTTTAAGTATTAAAAAATGACAGCTTTCTCTGGACACAATTTCTACAGTAGAAAATAAACAGCAACATTAATTAGAAGAATTAGAGGATATTGTGAAGGAAAAAAACAAATACCACACACACACACACACACCCATAATAAAGCTTTTCTTGAGAGGAGGAAAACCGAGTAGGAATCATTTCACAGAGCCTGAGATTTTGGGAAGCCTTGGGTATTTGTAGTTGCATTTAAAGACAGCTCTTGCAAAGACATGATTGCAGGAACACAGAACTTGCAAATTGAACAAGTGACAGTTTATCTTGAATGAACAAAAGCACCAGAATCAGTACGTGCACAAAGCACTGAGTAACAACTTTTGTTGACAGTTTCCATGAAGCTGATTATCTACAATGAGTTAAACAAAACAAATTAATGAAACAGATGTTAGGAGAAATGGACAGAAGTCCTGGAGCTGTAGTAACACAACAGAGCAAAACACCTGTGTATTTTAAGTAACTGAGCTTTTAAGAAGAATGTGGCAATTTCAGAAGAATTTGAAAGAATTTGGCAAGGATGCCATACCTGTCGAGTTCCTCCCTCAACTTCTGATTTTCCCCAGTGGTTATTGCATTTGTTCTCCTTTCTTGTTGCAGAACTTCTCTCTCAGTTTTTAAAACTACTTCCAGCTCTTCCAGTTCTGCCTTATGCTTCATTAAGCTGTTGTATCTACAAGAGAAGGGTGATCACACACTTAAGTTTTCATTCACACATTTTTCTTCTTCTAACTGAAGATCATTTTAACAGATGGCATTACAACCATCAAAAATGAGTTTATTTTCTGCGCATTTAGTTTTGTATGGATTTGCGTGGTTGAAAGTCCACTAAGACAGAAGACACAGCAGCGCTTGGCAAAGTTACATTGCTTACACCGGCCTCACCAGCCACTGTCGGGTGTTTTAGCAGAGATGACTGCAGAGCAGAGACAGCCTCTCCGCAGCCAATGAAACCTCAAAACAAAAGGAAAAGCAAAGATGGCATCAAGTACGTTGGCTCCTGCCAACTTGTTTTTCTTTCAGGCTACCAATCTCTTCACCTCAGAGTCATTTTACAGCCTTTCCCAAATTCCAATCCATTGAATGGCCACACAGGAAAGTACCTGTATCCCAGACAAAAACTGCCTTTTACTATTCATGCCCACTAGTAGCAATGGGATTTAATTAACATTTTTAATTTGTTTTCTTCCCTCATTCAGCTCCAGGACATTTCAAATTCAACGTCTACACAACGAATGGAACAACCTAAAGAGGAGGAAGGTTTCAAATCCAGCTCCCAAAAGGATACTCAAGCAAGACTTTGTGCCAATCCAGAGTTTGGAAAGACAAACTCCACAGTCAATACCTTGGCAGATATTACCCTGGCCTTCTCTACAGAAACTCTGTTGCTGATTCTTTCATCACTTCCCTTTGATAGAACTCCTCTCCATTTTTACCCAACCCAAGCCTTCTGTTATTTTATTTTAAGTGAGAACTACTGCTTCTAGTTTCATAGCTGCTCCCTTCCACACTGGGGGATGGAAACAAAACTGGAGATAGCCTGCAGGAACGCTGATGCTCCTGTACTGCTGCAGCCCCAGTGAAATCCCTAAGCAGTTAGGAGTTTACCAGTTGACCAGGATTTACACAACCTGACAAGCACAAACATACCCTGCAGTGAGAGGCTTTGCCACTGGGCAAGGTTACCCAGCCCATGGGCTATTCAACATTCATGCTCACTCCATTTCTCTAGAGGGAAATGAAAAGAAGATTATAAACATTTCCTTATAGACGCAAATAAAACAAATTTTGGCTCTGATTCAATTCATTCCTGGACTTGAAAAGCCATGTTTCTCTACTCCTGTTCCAACTGTGTTTTTTGGCTTTCACCCTTTCTGCTCCTCTGTTTGGAGAGAGAGTGCGGGTGGATATTTGTGGCTGAGAAAATTTTAAAAATATTCAACTATGATAGGAAGCATGTGGCAGAAGGAGTCCATAAATATGATTCTCTGGCAGCACTGCAAATATCATAATGCAAGTCCCTGCAAAACATAACCCTGAACAGCAGGGATTCTCTTTTTCCAGGAGGACGAGTTCTTCCCATGTTTGTGCAGGATTACAGACTTACTCAGAGCAAGTCTAAGAACTGCCCAAGGCTCTGCCACTCAGCCATAGCTAGCAAGTTATTTCCCCTTAGTAACTTGCAACATTTAAAGCAATTTAAAATGCAGGCAGAAAAGGCCAGCTCTCCTCTGCTAACTGGGGCACCCAACTAAACACCGCAAGGACAGTGCTATTAACAGTAAATGGCTCCAACATACTAGCTTGCTCCTTCTTGCTAAGACAAACCCACATGTGTGTGGTTTGCTGAGCTATGACAGGCCATTTCACTACAGCTGCACACAGCTATTATTAAATCCCTAGTGCAGTATTAAGACAATGCTGATACAGCTGAGGGAGGTTTAGTGAAGTTCCCTAGGATGCAGAAAACACCCTGTGGTATGACAGGCATCACCGGGGGCAGCACAAGCCTGGCTGTACACACCACGAGCAGGCCACAAGCTAGCTCAAGTTGTTGGGGATTTTTCTACGCAAGCTGCAGTCACAGGCTCCTGCAGGAGTGCAGTCCTGCCGTAAGCAACAGAACTGTGACTGAACACGCTGTCACCAACCTGGAAATACAGGTTTCTCTGGAGCTGGGACAAGCAAAGCCCATCTTGCTCAGGTTCTGCACAGCAGCTGCTCAGGTGTTCTGGGAACATTTACAGGGCAGTGGATTCTAGCTGAAGGTGAGATTGCAGCTTATGACCTGAATGCTACCGAGTGGCAGATGAAAATGAACAGTTCTCTTCCAGCTGCTTTTCAAGCTTACTCCCCTCTGCCCTTCTCAGCCAGCTGAACACAGCACACCAGGAGGAGTGGGGTGAAATAATTTCTCTCCTTTTTTTATGGCAAGCAAATGGAGATACAAGCTGTCCTTGGATAAATCACCATGACAAGCATCTTCCAGACTGATCTGCTGAGGAGGACACTTCACTCTTGGAACCCCCAAAAATCAGCCTGCTCAGAGCATACAAAAGATCACCATCTGCTCCCCTGCAACATTTCCCATTGGCAGTCACACCTCAGTAAGAGAGAATCCACATCATTAATGTTCACAGGAGTGGTCTGAGCAATTACCACTACAGAGAGTCTATTTTTCAGAAAATCACTGCTTTTTTATGCTGCAACTGTTTAATAAGCAGCACTCATCAAGAAAAGAAGGAATCCGGCAAACTGCACCTACATACCGCAGTGCGATAGTCTGAAGCAAAGTCTGCATCAATGACAACCATTAATCAGTCTGAGTCTACTTGTTAAGCACAGTGTCTGTGTATTCACTTACGAGCTCATTATTTAGTTGACAGCCAAGCAGCTGTCCTGACAAGCAGCCTCAGTGGGTATTTTCGTCACAGCAGGTTTAGTTCTGTATTTTGTCAGAAGCTACTGCACACTGTACTGCCAGTTCCTTTGCGCTTGGGAAAGTCTAGCGTGGACTTGTTCTTGACCATTGACGCAACTTTTGGGGGAAAAAAACCGATTTTTTTTAAAAAAAAAAAAAAAGGAAAAAAGGCTCTCTGATGGATGGGTGACCTTTACATAGTAATGTATCATTGATACTGTTACATTCAAGCACAATTGTCAGAAAGTGACACGGACTAGAAACTAAATAATAAATTGATTAATTTGATTAACCCAATTTCATAGTTTGATTGAAAGTTCTGCTTGAAACAAAAGATTTAGATTGTGAGAACTAGAAGGGAATAAACAATACGCCACTCTTTTACCACTGGCCCAATGTCACATCTGGCTTAACTATTTCACATCTGGCCCAAAACCCTGTTTCCTCAATATCATCAGGAACCACCTGTGGTCTGCCACCTTCACAAGTTAGAAACATAAAGGCTTTCAAGTATTTTCATCTAATCTAAGTAGATTAATATAGTATAATCATCTAGTATAATAATCTAGTATAATAATCTAATCAACAAAAATGAGAAGACACTTCGACATTCTGTCAAGATAACAGCTTACTACAATGAAATTGTATTTTTTGTTTATAACCAGAGATCAATGTTTCAGTAACACATTTTGGTTATCCAACTTCCCTGGGCACTGAACAATGAGCATACCTCTCACCCAGACCTTTATGCTCCAGATCCAGGTTTTTGTGTAATGTTTTCAAGCAGCTGTGCTGGTTTATTAGCATTTCATACTCTGTGGACTGACGCTCGTGCAGTGAAGCAAGGTGTTCATGATCCTGAAGCAATGATTCATATTCAGCTTTTAACTGTTCCTTCTGTTTCAGTAGATTTTCATTTTCATTCTCCTTGGCTGTCTGCTGATTTTGGAGCAAAGCATTCTGGGCCATCAGTGAAGCACTCTGGGAGCTGAGGGTTGAATTTTCTACCTAAAGTTTCTCAAAAAAAAAAAGAGTATATTTGTTTACACTTTCTCATACAGGTAACAATCATGTAATAACAGTTTATATCTGCATACAATTAAACAAGGATACATCTATTGCTTTGTTGACTGAGAACATTCATGGACACTAGGGCATCACCTCAGCACAGTAATACGCACAACACAGTCACCCTAGCAAGGGGCTGGAATCCATCTGGCTGATCTCCAGACTGTAACGACACTCACACCAGCACATACGCTTCAGCCTGAAGACTGTGGGCAGGAATACTTGTAATCCAACTATAGTTGGATGCTTGTGTATAACTGAAAGAAGACTTAAATTCAACTAAACACAAGAGAATGAACCACTGTGTGCCGCAGCAGCATTCCTAATAAGTTTGATTTTCTGTAGATACAGTGGATACACTTTAATTATCTTCTTCATAAAGATAAACCAAGACAACAGCTGAAGAGCCATTTTCTCTCCAAGACTGGAGAAAACTCAGATCTCAATCTAAGCTCCACTTCACAGCCCTTTATGACCTCCACTTTATCAGTCACAGTTTTTTTGCCAGCCATCACTCTCCACACTACTATAATGAAATCCAGTGTGTCCTATTGTCACAAAGGTGCAGAGTTGTTCTGACCTGGAGTTTGGCTGTCTGTGTCTGCAGGGAAGTGTTATGCTCCTGGAGGAAGACATTTTGCTTCTGTAGTGTCAGGATCTGACTGTTGAAGGAGACATTTTGCATTTCCAAGTGTTTCAGCTGTTCTTTAAGCAGCTGCTTCTCAGTATGCAGGGCAGCATTCTAAGAGAGATGGGATTGGAGAGAGGTAACAGGAAAAGAAAAAAAAATAGAAAAGAAAAAGAAAAGAAACAGCCGCTCTGATGAGTTGGAGCACTACCAAAGATGAGAACCAATTAGCAATGATCCTTCTGCAACAAATGTGCAAGAGGAATTTCTTCCCCGCATTAAAGGAAGGTAGGACAGAAACTAACCCCAGGGCTCACCCCCACTGAGATGCTCTGCAAGACAGACAGTTAAAGTCTTGTGTGGCCCTAGGAAATGTCTGAAGAACTTCGTAGACTTGAGAGCTCAGAAAGCCCACAAGATTCCTATAGTCTTGAAAAAAAAGGTCCTAGCAGTCCACTCATGGCCACACAAGGGATGTGTGAGGAATAACAGGTAACTAAAGGCATCTTACATTCCTTTCCAATTCTATCGCCCTGTCTTTCAGTTTCAGAAGCTCCATGGTAGCTTCTCGGTGTCCCATTTCCAATTTCTCTTTTACTTGGTGATTGGGAATGCGTTTCTCTGCCGAATATTTCAGTGACTTCTGAGCACACTGCCCATCCTGTTGGGTCTGCTTGAGTGCATCAAAGTCCTTTTTTACCTGTAAAACCCAAAACAAAAACTTTACAACTGATTCAACACTGGGATTTTATATTAATAATGAGATAATATGCATTTCCTCTTTTGCACTGTAAGTATTTAAAGGAATTCAAGAACTATTACTCCTGCTTCACAAATTGGGAAGCTGAGGCCCAGAGGGGTGAAGGAATTCATGTCACCTGGCCTGCCTTCAAGCACCCTGTGACTCAAACTCAACCAAAAAGGCTATCCCTGGTGAAAAGCTTCAGTTGCAATTTGCCTCAGCCTACACTCTCATTGAAGAAAGTAGAAAAAAAAAATACCATGGCCGTGAAAAGAACATGGAGACACAGAGACTGCACATGCTGTTTACTCAGAAATACCCTCCCTGCCCTGGACCACAACTCAAAAGTTTTGCCAAGGTCAGTGCTATTATATACAATTGGACAGGAGAGAGTAGTCGAATCAAACAGTCTTAGAGGGTGCTTGTTTGTGGCGAGGAAAGAAATGCATAAAATTTGCTCCTGTTGAACAAAAAGGATGTGAACGTACAACACCATATTGAGAATATTTAATATGCAGTTCACCTCTTACCAAATTTAGCTCATTTTGTAACTGTTGGTTCAAGTTCAGAGAGTCTTTCACTTGAGCTTCCAACACTGCGATCTTTTCCTCTTTAACAGCTACTGCTGTTTTTAGTGCCGATTCAGTTTTGCTTTCCAGAATCTTATATTTTCTGAAAAACAGAGGGAAAAAAAAAAGATTCCAACATCTACCACTAGGTTATGAGGCACCACCCAGATAGCAGACCTTACCTTCACTCAAAACCTGCTTGGACGCAGTCCTGTGCCACGTGCTCTAGGTGACCCTGCGTGTGCAGGGGGGTTGGACTAGATGACCTCCAGAGGTCCCTTCCAACCTTAAGCATTCTATGATTATAAATCTCATCACATGTTACATTATGGGTGTTTACTTCTTCAGTAACAGAAATTCCAATCAATTTTGGTAGGAGTAACACCTACATGGTTCTACAGAAATATTTAAAGCTACATAATTTAAAAGCAAGTTTTTCTACTCTGACCTTAATTACACTATAGATATTTCTTCTCATGTCTGTTCTGTATATTCCTTATGGGGAGAAAAAAAAAAATACAGTAAGCCCCATTTTTTTCCCCAGAAAGTGTATGTTTATCTAACTGGGTCTTACCCAAGAGGTCTATACATATGGGGTTTGTTGGGCTTTCTTTGTTATTGACTATGAGATTTGCTATCAGGAATGTCTTGGGTAACATCCATGCCTACATTAACAGCTGGCTGGATCATCATCATCTGAAGGAGAGCAGTCAGGCACTGTTTTTCTCGCTTATAAAGAGAATAGCAGGAGGAACATGCACAGGGGATCATTGCAGTGAGCTACCCAGCAGCTCTACAGGGAATTGTGATAATACTACCTAGTATGCAGAGAGACAGAATGTCATTTTTTCCTATTTTCAATCTTTCCTAGAAAAGATTTTTCTAATCTTGCAGGACATTGCCAGGCCTGCTACAAAAAATTGGTTGTGTGTTCAAAATTGGTAAAGGTAACTGGAGTTAGACAGGGGAGGACAGGAGAAAAGGTGGTTTTTTTAAGCTAGAGGTTTGAAATAGGATGCCTGAGAGCCTGCAGAGTCACAAGCATGAGTTGGGGAGCTCTGTTTCCTCACTTGTCATCGTTGCCATTGTCATCCTGTAGCAGCAGCTCTTTGTTCAGTCCTATCTTCTCCAGCTCCTGGCTCAGTTTGTCCAGCTCACTAGACAACTGTTGACTCTTCAGCTTCTCCAGGACCAAATCCTGTAACAGCACCAAGATGATTAGTTGCCATAAAAATGACAGTGCTAATTTTCTAACACTGGCGATTTTTAAATTGAAGAGCATAAAAAAGAAAGACAGTGAATAAAATTGTAGTCCCAAGAAGGTCAGTGAAAATTGTTCAGTGTCAGCTCAGTGCAGAATTAAACTGACTCTCTATTTATAGTTCACCCAACGGGAACCCAAAGAATGCTTCTTTTGGCCTCTGTCTTGTTTACTGGACTGCATTTCTTGTGCCACGCTGCCATCCCACTCCCCTGCCAGGGGAAGGGCTGTGCAGGCTGGGGCACCAGCAGCACCAGGAGGGAGTTTCCCCCACTTTCAGCAACCACCAAAAAGCACAGCCTGCCTTTTACATTGTTTATTAAAATGTAACACATCAGGCTGTGCATGTGCACACACAGCACATGCATGGGGTGACAGGGCTTCCCTATGCAAGTTTGAGATAATGTGGTTTGATTTGTTGCTGAGGGACTTGAACATTTTCATGATTCACTCAGTTTTTGACAGAGGGAAATTACTGGCATAATTGAACAAGCCTAATTACACTGTTGCAGTGTAATTGGATAAATCGTGGTATACTTTAATTTTGGGGCGGTGCGCACTCAAAGGCAGCACTATCCTGTGATGCCTGTTAAGACTGTGAAGATCTAATTCATAAATCAAAGTCATGGAACACAAGCTTTTTGCTACTTAGCAGAGTAGAAAAATATAACACAGTAATGAAAATAGTAATAGCATTTCGCTTACCTCTCTCAGTGTAGCTAGTGTTCTTTTATCAATTGTAACTTGCTTTATGAGATCTTTATTGTCCTTTTCAAATTCTTTCAGCTTATTAGATGAATCTCTGAATCGAGCAATTTCCTTTTCTAGTGTCTTGTTTTCCTTCTCAGCAACTGCCAACTTTACCGTACTATCATCCAAAATAGCATCTTTAAGTTCCACTTGCTGCCAAAGCCGTTTTGTTTCTTTCTCCAGCATTTTTTTGTCTTTCTCCAGCTGAGACATTTCTTGCTCCAGGTCTTTGTTCTCTTTCTCTAACCTCTCTAGCCGTTTGGTAGAAATCTTTAGTTCCTCCATGTTTCTCTGGAGGACCTGGTTTTCACTCTCCATTTCTTGCACTTCTTTCTCTAGCTCCTGGATCTTTTTGCTGCTGTTCTCCAGCATTTGCTGAAGTCTCTGGTTTTCGGAGTTAACACTTTGATAGCTTAGCTCCAGTCTTTCTGATTTCTTGCTCAGCACTTTTAACATTTCTACATTCTTCCTTAGGTCCTCTTTCTCCCTCTCCAAATCTTTATTTTCTGCTTCTATTTGTGCCATTTTTGTGCTGGTAAATCTCATGGTCTCTACCACTCTTCTGAGCTCCAGATTTTCTTCATCCAACTGCTTGTTATCTCTTTCCAGATCACCAAGACGGATGGAAATATTCTGCAATGTGTCCAGGGATTTTCTTAATTTCCTGTTTTCCACTTCCAAATCCCCATTTTCCTGCTCAAGAACTTCAACTTTTTCTGTCACTATTTTCATGGCTGCTGCCTTCTTTGTGAGCTGTTCATTTTCCCTCTCCAGCCGATGTAGTTCTTTCTCCATTTCTTCCACTCGTTCCACTTTCTCTTTAACCTGCTCAAAATCCTTTTGTAACTGCTTCTTCTCAAATTCCAGCTTATTCAGTTTGCTACTAGTTTCTGTAACTGTTTCATGAAGGATCTTGTTTTCTTTTTCAATATCTTTTACTCTGGCTTCACTGCTTACTTGAGATCTTTGTCTCAAGGACAAGACCACTTGATTAAGGTGATCATTTTCTTGTTTAAGATCCTTTATCTACACAAATGAACAAAAAAAGGTCATGCAAATGCTGCTCATCTACTTACAATACAATTTAGATGAGTGTTAAAAAAAAACTCAATTCGATATAATTTATTCAACAGTTATCCCTGACTAAAACCAATAACCTTAACATGCACACACACAAAAATAACTAGGGACTCTAGTGTATTACAAATGGTGCTGCGTTCCTTCTAACAGCTAAGAACACTGGCAGAGCAAGAGAATAGACAGATGCCCTCACAGAACACCTTGGAGTAACTGCTTTGTTAGGGATTACTCCTCACTAATGATATCTTTCCATCTACATTTACAAACGTAAACACTAAGGAGAGAACTAAGACACAAGAGAACTAAGGACAACAATTCTTTCTCGTAAGACTTCAGAACCCGCCAGCCTTAAATACTGGTAGTAGCTATAGGTCATATTAAGGATATACTTTCTGCAAAAGCAAAGCATTAACCTCACTGGTCAAACTCCAGCTGAGGCAACTGCAATTTAGACTGAGATTTGCATTCGATTCTTAACTACTTAAGATCTACAGAAATCAAACAGTACTTTGGCCTGAACAAATCAAAACCTGGCTTTTTCCATTAACTGAAGATACTTTTGTTTTTACTTACTGCCCTAAATGTGAAGCATTCACTAATTCTTATCACAGAGAATCCATGTTTTTAAAGGGAACGGTATGATTTCAATGGTAAACTGCAAATTCCCAGATAGAGGTTTCTGTAAGAATCTTTCAAGGGGAAAAACACTACGTAAACAAGATATTTTGCTGTTTCATCTTTGTCCTACAAGTCATGGATAAATTTTACTACATACTAAAAGTAGGCAGCCCATCTTCCAACAACCCATGTATAATTTTCTTAATCGTTATTAATAGGAATAATTTCATTAATCAAATTAATGCAGGTGGCACTGTTATGTGAACTGACAGTACAGAGATTTTGAACTGCAGCACAGTAATAAAAGCTGAAGGGTATTTAAAGTCTAAGAAGGGCTTTTATTTGCTACCCCAAACCTGACCACGGCTGGCCAGTAACTGTTCAGTAACCCTGGGCTTCTTGCCTGAAAAAGAGGGCAGATCTGCATCTACAAATAGCATGCAGATCTCTTATTATGCTGGGTCTTTTCGCTCGGAGACCTTTTATCTGCATTTGAATGAGAACTTCCTGCAGAGAAGAGCTCTGAGCTTGTCCCATCTCTCCCTCACAGAAATAGACGGCTTCTAAATGGCATTAGTAAATCATCACTACTGAGCATTTGCTTTTGGATTACATTTATGAAGTTTGTACCTGTCTGTCTTTGTCGGCTTTCAAATTCTCCATGATGACTTGTAGCTGCTCTTTCTCTTTTATCAGCTCCTCACTTAAGGTCTCCAGATCTTGATTACTTTGCTTCTCTTTTTCAATTTGATTTTGCAGCTTTTCAATCTGTGTGGAGAGAACAACCCAGAACACATCAGACAGCCTAACACAATGATTGGTCACATTTAAAGGTTCTTTGAAGAGCACAGAGCAAGGAGACAGGAAGTATTGCTGAGATGCAATTCTTCCTTTCTGCAGCTACCAGGTGTGGGAGAGGAGCAAGAACATTTTCTCATAGTGCCAAAAATCTCCTTCTTACTTATTAAGATGACACCATAAAAAGCACATCAGTAAGGAATGCTTCAAACTGCCTGAGGGCCATTTCTTGCTTCTGTCAAGAACTGAAGTTTCTGGTACTCACCATTCTGACAGATTGTGTCTCCTGCTAGCCTCTCTGCCACTGATGCTCTTAGTCCATCAGCTGATGAGAAGGTTATTAAGACAACTCAGTAAACAAAAGAATTAAAAATCCAGAACAGAGAAAAAGCACTGGAATTCTGAGGTTTACATTCCCTCTCCCTGAGTTTTGTTAGCCCGGTTTCCTCAGTAGGTCTCCACACTGTTTTTGAATGATTTATGAAGGACCTAGTCATACAATAAGCACCATCTTTTTACTACTTATATTTGAAAGCTGCTCTTAAAAATGTATTGAGCACTGTTAAGGAGTTTTTTTTAGAAGCAAGAGGTTCGAAGATTTAACTACCCAAGGCAGGAAGCATTCCTTTTTATGCTTGAAAAATTCCGTAAACACCAACAGCTCTGCAGAAGTATCAGTTCTTTTTTTCTTTCTTTTTTTTTTGTGGGTTGATATACGAACTTCGCCAACAGTGAAAATGCCAATGAAAAGGGTATTAACAATAATTGTTACAAGTGGGAAATGGCTGGAGGCTGGGCTCTGCCTATGTCAACACAGGCCTCATTACAGGAAGTGTTTAAACAAGCAGGGACTGCCTAGATTGGAGATAAGAAGGGCTTAGATTTAGAAATGCAATCACAATAAGGTTCATTGGTCCCAAAAGAGCTGTACAGAGAAGGTGAGAACATGAAGCCAGTAATTCAGCAATAGCTGGTCTTCATTAGTACTGGGGGCAAGCAAGAAATGACTGCTTGTTTCAGTCCAAGGATGCAGAAAAAAAAATAGCTAGACTGCTGTTTCCAAGGAGAGTTTTCTAGTGTTAAACCATCTTGAAACTTTTCAAGGCGTGTGTGTGTGCGGGGGGGAAGTCTGTCCTTTCCTTAGTACCTTCACTTGTACTGCCCTGAATAATCCCATCCACTCCTGCTGCTCAAGCCTTCCAAGCACCACTAGACTAGCAATCAGGTAACAAGCTTTACGAGTCTTGGGCACTGAGTGAAATCTGACTCTAATTGGCTTTAGGAGAGCAGGTTCTTACTTTTAAGTGTCGCAGGTAAGTTACCAGACTTGATTCTGTCGTTATTTCAGTCCCAGCTCTTTCTTTTTCCCTACTATCCTTTTGCCCTAAACGTCCCCTTCTGTGTACATTAATATGTACTAAGAAAATTAATTAAGTTCTGATAAATTACTAATTATATGTGTGAACAATAAAAAGCATGTGAGAGGAAATAAGATTTAAAAAGCCAAACCAAAGTTATTATTAGATTATTATATACTCGGTCTCTGTATAATGTGTACATCTCACACACACTATATAATACTGTCTACTACCTTTATTTCCATCTCTGATGAGGTGATGAAGTCAGTCAGCAACCTGACTGATCCGTGGCACTCAGTCACGTACAGACTATGCTATATTCTGTGCCACTCAAGAACTCGTTTTATTCTTTCACACATTTCAACCGCTCTTCATTTTTAACACATAGCCTTTTTTTCCCTCATTGGTCTGATTCACTGAGCAGCCTCTTTGCTCCACACAGCCATTCTCCACTAGTCGCCTTTTTTCTTAAATTACCAGACCTGTAGGTGACCCCAGCACATCAATTTGTCTGTTGTCATTGAAAACATCCAACTAATCTTCAAATCACAACTGTTGACACTAAGACAGTGTCATAACTGGAAGTGCCCACAGAAACGTGCCTGGGGCAAAGCCCAAGGTTGACCACAGTTGTTTAAATGACTGTGCACCACAGGTATCTGCTGAGTGCTTTGTATCTCTTGATCTTATATTTTAGGCATGTAAATTACAGCTGCAGCGAATTACTCATACACAATCGTTCATAAATCAAAGCGGTGAAAGAGTACTGTGAACTGGATTTTTGCAAACAATTTTGCAGCAGAGTTGTTTTCTTAACTTGGCAGGAGACTCTCTCCAGAAGCAGTAATGGATTCTTGTTTGCCTTGGCAGAGAAGTCAACATTCTGTACTAATTACAATCTAGTAGTTCACGACTAGCATTTCATATCCAGATTCTTTCTTCCCTTGTCCTTTAAAGCATTCAGTTTGCCAATAAGCGACAAGAGAGGGCTGAAATTCCTGTATCACTGTAGCACACACAGCTCATAGCAGCAATAGGGAAAGGAGAAATGGGCCTTACAGTCTGTGTAATTGAGCATAGGTAGAAACACAGAAGTGGTGAACACGGACATTTCTCATATTGACCGACTGACAAGCAACCTCTTTCCCCAGTGGCACTTGCCTGAAGTACTCAGAGTTCAGAATGCCAGTTTCTAGCCAGGCAAAAGTGGAGTTAGGGATTGTGTGTGAACTGAACTACATTTCCAAGACAGGGCAGAACTGACAGTTGATCCAAGAGAAATAACACTTGCTAATGGCATGTAACGAGTGTGCATGTGCACGCACACACACACACACAAAATTAAGCAGTGATGACCTACACAATTGTTACCAGGGACAAAAAGAACCCAGAGCTTTAGAGACAGTAGAGAACTTGCAATAGCCAAAAGGATGGAATAAAAATGATCTAGAACAATGATCAGTGAAGACAGTTATTTAGAAATACAGTAAGCTGAGTTTATCTGAGTGGTTTATTTGACTTTCACAGAAATAATACTAAAACTTTCAAACAAGAAAAAAAGTTAAATGTGTCCACAGCTTGCTCACAGAGCAAGCAGTAGTGATTGTCACAAGAAGACAGAACAAGAGAAAGAATAGCACCATATGCTGGGGCAAATGAGCACCGAAGGACAGAGTCTATGGAATGGGAACAGACACTTTCACTTGCAGGGATGCATCTGTGTAGGCAGTGGGTTGAAAGCAACGGAACACACTGATGCGAAAAGAGGCCTCCTCATAATACATAGAAGGGCCTGAAAACGCTCCCAGTCTCCTGGAGAATATTGGTGAACTCCCGTGATCCCTCCCTCTTCAGGAACATTGTAAAGCTCTGCACACACCGTGCTCAAAAACCAAACAGCTCGCTCTGTTCTGTGAGCAACAATTACCTTTTTGCTTAACTGCTGATTTTCTTTTTCCAGTTCCACAAACTTCAGGTTGCTCTCCCTGGAGGCCAAGGAGGCATCTCTCAGCTCCTGGATCGTGTTCTGCAAGCTCTGATTGTCCTTCTCCAGCTTCAGTATGCGACTCGACGCACACTCGTTCAGCTCAAACACAAAGGACTTTCTAGCTGTTGAAACACGAGAATCAGAAGGTGGCACTAACCAATTCAGAAATATCCCCCTTTCTAGGTCTGTAAGGCTTGCTTTATGAAAATCATTGCAGCCAGGTCCTTATCATTTCAGCTTCACTAAGCTAACGCTCTCAAAAAATAGAACATATTTCCACAGGAAAAAAAAAACAAGATCTTTAATTAAAAAAGGAAATATCTAAGGAGATAAATATCTTAAAAACTACATACTAACATACTACAAAGTTACATTTCCTAACATACTCTCTTAAAGTTATTTTAACCAGCAATGGTTAGTGCTTTGACATACCCTTTTACACTTCCTTCAAAGGAAGTAACTGAGGCATAAAAGTAAAAAATTGAGAATTGTGTGTAGCATATCAAGATGACGCACTCCCAAAAGCCAATGAAAGCCTCAGGAATCTGACCCTATTAGAAATGGTACACGCTTATAAAAGCAAATTCAAGTGCTTAGCCTCACAGCTCCTTCACTGATATGCTAAACCCAAGAAGGTATTTTATTACCCGCTGCACAAGCCCAGGACATCCTTCAGAACACTGATCACAGAAAACTCTTAAGTTGAAATCTTAAGACTAACAACATTTACACAAGTTTTACAACAGAGACATTACTTTAAAAGCTTAGACTAAGTCTCACTAACACTTACCATCCATTTCCAGTACCAAAGCCTCTACAGTTCAGTTCCGTTCTCTACTCAGTGTCACAGTAATTAGGAAAGCAATCACAGAATAATCGCTATCCATAAGCTCACATTTGGAAAATCACATTTGGAAACAATGTTAAAGTCACTTTCCTATTTGGTCTCAGAAAACTATTCACTCAAGCTAAAATAATCATCACTATTACATCCACCAAACAGAACAATTCAGAACTAGCTGATTTCTGAAACCGTTAAACTATTTTCTAAGACTATCACCCAGAGAGGCTTGGTTAAGAGTAAAACAGTTTGGATGAGAGTCAAAGAGTAACATTAACAAAATTTTCTCATTCAATTCTGTTCTGAAGCAAAGCCTATCTAAATCTTGTTGCATCCAAGCTTAGCTTTTTAATAATTGAATAAAATGTCCCCATCTAACTGAAAACTTTCTTATACCAGCCAATTTTGTACAAGACTGTTGTATTTGGAAGAGAAAGGACCACCGATGTGGGACTTCTTAAACATAATTATTTCTGAAACAGAAGCAAAGGTAAAATATTTTTAGAAAGATTGTGTTAAGCGATACTTCTTTGATATTTATTTTTTTCTACTGAATACACAAGCTAACTGATGTTCTCAGTTCTTCTCTCTTTTCTTTTGGTGGGGGGGGGCAGAGCGAGGGGTGGGCAGGGTTTGTTTGTTTACTTGGAAACAGTTCTGGAGCTCCAGTGATAGAAAAGTTAAAATTACAACAAAGGAATTAAAGGAAAATGCTACTCACTGTCCGCAAGATCTGTGCTTTTTGACAGTTGTTCTAGTTCCCAGCCTAGGTGTGCAGACTCATTCATGCTCTGTTTCTGTGCAATCTCCAACACCATATTCTCTTCCAGCAGTTCTTCAATTCTCTTCTTGTCTGTGTCCCGATCCTATGCAAGTGTGCAAATGTATACAGAGCTTAACTCCAAAAAGGTTCTGTCAAGGTGAACTGTTAAAAGCAGCACGCACTTCGAGGGTAGAAAAGTCTCTGTAAGCAACTTAATATGTCTTAATATTAAGATATACGCACAGCATCAATCATTTGTAGGGCTACCACATGAATTCTAAATGCTGTGCAGACCCCCAGCTGACCCTGTTTGAAGTAAGCTCAAATCCATAATATACTTGGAGAAAAGCAGGTGAGGATGAAGACATGCCTGGTGATGCTGCGGTCAGACCAACAAGGCTGGCTGAATTCAAGCTCTGTCCTTAAAAAAGCTGTTTGTAAAAGTGTAGCACGATGCAGGGAGACCCTAAAGACTCTGCATATATGACTTGAATTGTAGGGGGCTTCTTCAATCTGTCATATCTAATCTGGATCAAGTCATGTGCAAATCAAGAACATACCTATAATTATCCAAAAAATTGATCCAGATAATAAGGCTATCACTGCTTATAGCAATGATTTGGGCCACTTAATTTGTGGGAGTTGACACGGCGCCTTGAAGAGTCCCAGTTTCCAGCAAGCATTGTCCAAAAACTCACCAAGTCACCCAGAAAAACTGCATTCAAAACCACCACCCATTTCTGAAAAGCTGGAGCATCATGGTGCCCTGAATCAAGTCATTAAACATAACTCCATACAGAATCCTCTTTTGTTTCTAACATACTATTTTTCAAAAGCTTAAATCCACAAGAAGTCAAAAGCAAGAGGGACAACAGGAAGAATGTTAAGTTAAATACAGGAGATGAAGACAATTCTTATATGTTTGGACTGAAAAAAAAATCCCATGTCAGCATTCTGTTTGCAGATGATGAATTGCCACTTCTTGCATCTTTTGTCTGTGTGGTAATAAGCACACATGGTAATAGGCCATGACTCTGATTTATGTTGTAACCAATTTTGAATTTGTGTCTTCTATAGAAGTGATGGGTTCCTATAGCGATCATAACAGCTGGTGGTTTTGTTTGCAACAAAAAAGCTGTTTACTACCGTAGTTTACATATTCAATATTTAAAATTTCTGACAGATTTAAAAATCTTTTATAAATAAAAAGGAAGCCATTCTGTATTTTTACATTGTGATCTACGTTCTTGCATAAAATGTATTTCAAACTGTTCCACACAGCAGCACTTGCTAATATTCACACATTGAATGCTATAGCATTTTAAGAACACATATGCACCAAGTTCAAACTAAAGACATTTTAAGAAGCATGACTGACTTATTATCTTCTCCTCACTGGTTTCCACAACAAATTCATGTGACCTAGCAGGAAAACAGAATCGGAAAATGAGTGTAACAAAAGAAAGGTGCATACCAGCTCTACATCATGAAGCTTGGATTTCAACTGCAAATTTTCCTTCTCTAATTCATGCAATTTATCACCACGAGCTCTTGCCACTGTTAACTGTTCTTCTAGCATGGCCTTTGTTTCAATTAATATGATGTTGTCTTCTCTTAATTCCTGTGGAGCAAAAAGTAGCAGTATATACTGTTAATCTCTTTACATATATGTTTTTTAAAGACAAAGCAACTTTCATATATTGACATTATAAAATGTAAAAAAAAAAGTTTGACTTGTTTCCTTTATTAAAAAAACAAAAACAGATAGTTTAATAGGAAATAGTAGTTTAACGGAGTTTCTTTTACTGTAATGAAGACTTGATCAGGAGGCACCACAATGACTCAAAACCCCGAAGAATTCTTCATTTCTAACTCTATTATCATAATGCCATTTGCTCATCTAACTCATTGCAGCCCTCTGACTCTGCTTCCCCAACTATAAAATAGATTACATTTATTAAAGGGATATTATATTATGTTCAAGGCATAATATATTTCTTGCAGAACAACAAAAAAACATTTCATGCATTCACATAACCTACTTCCCGAAACAGGAAATGTCTAAAGCATAAAATCTGGCTGTGTGTTTTTGGTCATGTTTTAAATTTACTGAATTATTTCAGGTTAACACATTTGACTGCTAACTTTCACTCTTTCTGATCCTCAAACAAATCCAAGTCATACATCCAATTTTCCATGGCAGGAAAACATCAGCTTTCAAAAGATTTATTTAGGAAGGATTTTTTTTTATCCCCAGAAGAGTTGCAGTGCAGAAAGTCATTTATCTGTTCCTCTAAAGAACTGTTCTTTTGTCATCTTTCCCTCCCTTTCCCCTGCTCCAGTGAAAAGACACCAGAACAAGTAAGTGCACATCAGCTAGATGAAGTGCTTATGGCTTGACAACTTTATTCCTGGACAACAGCCTTTGAAATGTGAAGTCTCTTAACATCAGTGACATCAGTGTCTGCTCTCTCAGACCACAAACATTCAAACCAAGTAGACTCCTGAAAGTTCACTGGGCATGCATAAATCTCTAACTGCTTAGCCAGCAACTACTTTCTCATTTTAGGGAGGGTGGAATCAGCCACAGTGAGCCTCATGTGATCCAGTCATTAAAACAATATCCAAAATCAAAAACCAACACCCACACTCAAAGACAGCTGCAAAGCACAAGATAGGTTGTCAGATGACACCGACAGCCGTAATTCAATATCCTTATAAAGCAGTTAGCTGTTTGCTGCATCTTGAATGTAGATGTCATAGTACAGGAGGCCACTTCATGCTCTGCAGTATCGTCCTTGATCTCTTCATGGGTCACCTATCATCTTGCAAAAAGGAAGAGGGAGAATTTCCCTACTACAAAAGCATTGAAAGGATAAGTATATGAGAGTTTGTGAAATGATTCAGCTACTGCAAATAAAATGTCTGAGTGTACAAGTGAAAAAACAACTCTCCCCTCAATTTATAAAACTAACATTCCAGGCTAAGTCTGGTCTAACATTGTCACCTTTAGGGTGAACAAACTAAAGTTGCTGACACCGAACGATGACAGACCAGAGGAAGCAGAGGAACAGGAAATGTTCTGGGGGGTCACGTAAGCTGCAGGAAAACCCATACTGGAATAGCAACACGATCAGGGTTTGCTTTGCTGGCTCATCAAACTCAATCTGGACCACAGCCCTAAGAACTAAGGTGGTATCTGACCTCAAAAACGCAGCCTCAGAACTATTCCCCAAAACTGTCTATCAGGCAGAAACCAGTTATTTTAGTGTCTCATGAAGAATTAAGCTATGTGCCAAGCACATGTACACATTCAGGCTCTGGTACAAGCTGCACATCACTGGGAGCTGCAGTGCACAGAAAACTGAAGGCATATTTCCAGCAAGCACCCAAGAGGGGTGAACATGTCCGTTCAAAACACTTCTGACGAAATCTTAAATTAATAGCCCAATGGAAATGCCTCCTATGCGTAGGTCAACACTGCTCGCTAGTACATCCATGATCCAAGGCTGTCTTAATATTGAAAAGTTCATTTAATTTAAATAATTGCTCCATGGAAGCTTTTTCAAGTTAGATCGTAAAGCCTGGAAGGTAAAACCGTTCTACCTAAAACATGTCAGCACTAACATCTCACAAAGCTCTGGCATAACATAACTGGGCTGAAAATGTGCCTAGCTACAAATCATTTGGATTAGAGAAGCTGCAGGTAGAAGTAGGGTGAGGGTATTTTCACTGGAATTAATTTTTAACCTTTTTTTTTAATTAATAACAAAAAAAACCTACAAACTTGATTCTGTAGCTATTAGTTTCTTTTCAAACCAGCAGCAAAAATTGCTGGCTGTAGATTTTTTTTTCCTGAAAACATACTAAATTACTGGTAAGAGATTCAAAAATCTGTGCTTTATATTGCTTTTACCTTAAACTGTGATGGCTTAATACCCACTATATACAATCCTGCCTTTGTAATCATGTTTCTAAAATAAATTATATACTTTGCTCTAATCCCAAGCTCTGTCTTGAGTTAGCTTTAAGAACATGCATTGTATATTCATATGGGTTGCAATTAACTCTGAAGATAAGTGCTTCTACAAGTAGGGTGCTTTACTTCTCAGAAACATTTTCAGATACTAAAAGAGAAAACAGATTATATAAATCAAACCAGAGAAGTTGCACACACATTTAGACCTAGTTATTAGATGGAGCCCAAACCTTTCCCTTCTGGCAATTTGGAAGCTGCCCCCACTGAGCCATGAGACTGTTAATAAATGTCTTGCGACAGTCAAGCATTGCCTGGGTCGGCTATATGAACATACAGAAGAGGTACTTTTTCTTTTTTTCATGTCCACAGATATTCCTCCTGTCATCCTCTGTGGAAGCGTGATGCAGTGGGAAGGGGTAAGAATGGGCAAGGCAGACCCCCTGGCCTAGGGAAAGCATCTCCTGGAGCAGAGAGGAATCACAGAAGGGTTGAGGTTGGAAGGGACCTCTAGAGATCACCTAGTCCAACGCTGCTGGAGGCTGCAGGGGCTTTACCCTGGAGAGAAGTACCTTCTTGGAGGAAGCCCTGCACTGAGCCTGCTCCTCCACGTTGGCCGTTGCGACCTCATTAAGCCACTCCTGCAGGAAGGTCTCCAAACCACAGTCATCTACACGGTCTTCCAACAACAGTCAAATTAAAGTATAATTTCAGAGTATATTCTTGTCAAAAAATGCAGAGAACGTAAACAACATGCATGCTCAAATGTGCTAAGTTCACTTACAGAAAGACTTGCTCTGTTTGTACTTCTTGCATACTCCTTAAACTCCTCCCTGCTGCCACTGTTGGTGTCTATTATGTGCCCAGAACCCATTGATCAGCTTGCTCACAACTCTCAGGCTGTCACCATGTGCTATGCAGAGCACCTTCCATACATCTTGTTCAGGCTACTGAATGTGCATGACAACTACAAGAATGAAAATATCTTCAAGTGCCCATTTAATAGCTTTCTTCATTGATGCACTAAGTTAAAATCACTTTTTCTTCTCACTTACTGATTCTGCAAGGCCTGTTAATGATACTGCCAAAGCTTATGAGCCTTAAGGTATCACACTGCCACACTGCTGTGCTTTATGCACCTCTGCTTGTAATTGCTGTGGCTATGAGGGGTTTGTTCAGGTCCTAAGCACCCTCAGCTCAGTATGCAAACTGCACTAGTTAATGCCATTAGATGAAGAGGCACAGCACAGTCTAGTGGCATAAATCTCTATCATATTAAATCCTTGCACAAACCTTACAACTTGAAATTGTAAGCCTAGCTGTTTCTAAAGGAGTGGGAGGAATCCGAGCAGGCACTGAACTGCTCTCCAGCTATTGCTCCTGTTTCAGAAGGGCAGGGGACTCAAGTCAGTAGAAAACAGAGGGACATGGAGAGTTGGATCCTGGGTGCAGGACGATGAAGCTAGTACAGTGTCCCATGGAATCACCTGTATGTATCAGCATGGAACTGATGGCATTTTCCTGATGATGCCCATGTACAAAGCTGCCAGTCCCCAACTGTGCCATGGGTGGATCAATGAGAGCAGAGGGAGTGGTGAGCATGTGAAACACACTGGCTATTTTGGACCAAAGAGTAGCCCACAGACAGCTGTGCAATCTTGCCACATACTAGAAAAACCTCAGCCCTTGAAGCAGCAACAGCTCATGCTCAAGGCCACACTATTGCCCCAAAACAGAGAAGTGCCATGTTCATGGGAGTATTTTTCATCTCATCCATTGCTGTATCTGAGGGAGGTATCTCTGAAGGGCCAGTTTTCAACAATTTCACCAAAAGCTGGCAGGGTAGGAGTGAGGGAAGATCGAACAAAACAGAAGCAGAGGCCTCCTTACTGAATGGTGTGTGAAGCAGGATCAGCATGCAGACAGAACAGGAGACTGCTGGACGAGGACAAACGAAAGGTCTGAAAACCAGGAGCACCAGCAGCTGCTCCCCTGCCTTCACACCAAGGTAAGACTAAGCACTGCCCTCCTCTCGCCATGCTCTGGGAGCAGCGGGCAGAGGCAAAGCAACTCCAGTACACAGCCAAAAGTGAAATACCAGCACGTCACGCTGCTAGCCAGTACGCCAGGTAAGTGCCCTGCTGGTTTGCCAGCTTTAGCAAGGAAGAAACAGACAGATGGAGCCCCAAACTCTCTGAAGTAAAACGGAAATTACAGAGAGAATAGACAGGCTTTGCTAGGATATTGCTAAATTTAATAATCAGCCATATTATTGAATCTATTCGAAAGAAGCAGCATCTAGCGGATGTCCTAGGTCAGAGAGGAAAAGAATTGCCTACAAAGCAAGGTTTATAAAGCAGAAATAAGGCATATGTTCTTAGCCAGAAGCCTGATGAACATTCATTTCACAATTATGCTTCTCCCAGACCTAGGATTTTACACAATTATAGCAAGTGGGTAAACTACAGAACCTCAACATGGGTATTCAAGACTGGATATCCATCTGACTTTGGTTGAGATAGCACTTAAGTGAGGTTATTGAGAATTTAGATGAGGACCTCAATGTACAGAAAAGTTGCAGTAGAGCACCCTGATCTAACTTAAAAATTAGCCACACTTTGAGCATGAGATTTTATGAGATGCCTCCAAAGTTTTTTCTAACCTAAATTAGTCTATGATTCCAAATGGGCGCACCTGCAGGTGACTAACCTGATAAGGAGCATTACTGTGAGAACAAAAGCATAGGTTTCTCACTGAAGTCCTCTGCTCAGGGCACCAGGGAAGACCTCTCTCCTTACAAGCAACGGTTGCAAAAAGGGGTGCCTAGAATTTGTCATCCGAGGTCATTCTCAAGAATGCCCAGTCACTTGAACAACAGCTGCAACGGCTGCAGATACCCATTCATTTAGTTTACTTATATACAGCAATTAAAGTGCTGGTCAAAGGATTAACTTTGGACATCAAACATTTTACTTGCAGTCACTCTTCAAGGCTAGACTTAGATCCTTTAGAAGGAACCTCCAAAAAAAGTCTGTCCTCCTCAGCCACATAATGCTGAACCAAGCAGAGTTTACTAAAAATAATGGGTACTTTTTGCATACACCAAGTCTACTAAAAGAATGTTTTTGCTATTGACAGAATTTTTGATGCTGCTAAACCAACACCTATGAACATTATGAATTTTCCACTTGCTCTGATCTGCTACATTCAGCTCGATGATAAATGAGACATGAGCTGGTTACACAGCAAAAGCCAAGCATTAAGCATTACTCATCAAGTCCTCCTCCCGATCTCCACTTGCCTCCATGCGAGCTTTGTAAAAATCCACATCGTGAAGTTTCTCTTTGCATCGGACAAGTTCCATCTCCAGCCTCTCCACACGGTTTGCCCTCTCTCTCAGGGAGTCCAGCTCATCTCTGTATGCTCGGGCAGAGCGAGCATCCGAGGCCAAGTGAATATTCTGAGAGAAAAGAGAGGTTAAAAAGAATTAATATTTGAAAGAGTATTCTTTAAACTATTTTTTTTCCTAGGAGCAGTCATGAACAGGGATTGAATAATTTTCTGTTGGCACATTAATGAGAGAATTTTCCTATTAGCCAGTCAGTTCTTTACAAGACTAAGAGGTTCCTCAGTCTGATGGGACTCAGCCATATTCAATTCCTGATGTTGCATGTGCTCCAGGCATTACTGGATTATTTGCAAGCTAAACAGATGAGACTGCTCTCACCATTTAAGCAGAAAGTGTAGCACTGCTATTCCACAGTCATACTAGTCAAGCAGCTTGCTGGAATAACTTGATCCTTCATTAAAGAAAGTGTGGAGCAGAATTTTTATCCTCACAGTGAAAGAGATGTTTTTAAATTAGGAAGTCTGACACAAACAAGGCCACCTTACCTCTTGTTTTATTTTTTGAAGCTCTAGGATGAGCTCTTCAACTTCATGTTTAGAGTCCACAAGCTGCTCAGACTTCTCCTCCCTGAAAAGGATTAGAAAAAAACAAGTAGATTCTCTTTTTTCCCCTGGAGCACTACCAAGTATGTTTTCTAGGAAACTAGAAGGAAAGACAGAAGTCATCAGGTATATTCAGAACATGGAATTTTTTGATGGCATGCCACCTTCATAAGACTAGGAGGTATTCTCCCGTGATACCACATATCATAGACTTGAGACTGCAGCTCTTTTTAAGTATCTCTATTTAAATCTCACTAGATCCTATTGCTGTCATAACCAACTGTACTATCCTCTGAACTTCCACTTATTAAGCAGTGCTGCTAGTAGATGGTGCTTTGAATAGCAGAAGGGAGGGATGAGAGACAAGAAGAAACACAAAAGTAGCCCTTATTAAGGCCATGTAAGAAAAAGAAGAAAAAATAGAGCACCCACACTAGCTTCCTAATGCTATGAATAGAGGAAGGTGAAAGACATCATTCTGAGAGCTCCCATGGAGATCAGTGCAGGGGAACTGACGGGCAACTGTATTTTCAGTATTGACACAGTCTTAACACAGAACTGTCTCTAGCAGCATAAAATGCTGGTGACTCACAGTTCCTGTCGGACTCTTCGCAGTTTAGCCTTTGTGTCTGCCAGCTCAACTGCAAGGTGCTGTTTGTCTTCATTGGAACGATGGTTGGCTGGGTTTGGTGATGAATCTGGGCTTGGTGGTTTCAGAGGACTTGGTGGTTGCTGAGACTGTAGATAATCTCTCTCTTGAGTGAGATCTACAATCACCTGGAAGTATGCAATATTGAGAACAAAAGCAATAATACTTACACATTGTGTTTTTCAAGCATGTAAAATGATTAATAAACATGGAAAATTATTATCCTGTCATTCAGAATTCAAGTGATTCTCTCATCGGAAGGTTACACAGATGAGGAAAGAAATCTCTAACATGCTTTCATGACTAGATCAATATTAACAGTCTAATTTGTTTGGATAATCCATACAAGCTCTTAAAAACCAAGCTTTTAACTAACACAATCAGAAAGTCACATGCACAACAGAAAAGTCAGGTTAATGAAAGGAAGACATCAACTGCAAAGATCTGAAGAGAAAGGAGCTCACAAGTCAGCATGAGATAGGTCTGGTGTTACACAAAAAAAAACCTGAAGATGACAGTGGAAGCAAAAGTGGTAGGTGTTTCACTGGCGAGAAAGTCAAGCAATCACTGTAATGTGAATGACTGGACAAACAGGCAGAGACAAAATTCTAAAGATAATCAGAGCTTGAAATGCTTTGGTCTCCACTGCATGCACTCCTCCTACCAATAATTGCACCACATCTGAAGTGCTTATATAAGAATCAATTGAAAAGTCAAAATATTTCCACCGATTTTCAGTGGTGTAAGAGAAAAGCTCATAATAGACACCAAAGGCACAAACAAGACAACAGAAGGAACAGAACATGTATCAACTGCTCCACAGGAGCTCCATATGACAGAGGTGTCATCGTACTTCTGTGCACTCATCTCTTTCATCAATGAGTCTTTTGAGGTGGAAAACCATATTCCTGGAGAGAGACTCCAGTTCTTCAGGAGCCATGTCTGGCAGCTCCAGCCACTGCAAATCAAAGACATTCTCCTGGTTGTGAGTCACCTGAGAAGAGGAACAACAACAAAAAAGTTCTCATTAGTAGATTTAAAATTTTGTTTGCTACATAAGCTGCACCGCCCAGACCTGTCTAGTGGTCACTTCAAAAAGACAAAGACACCACATTTCACCAAAAGCAGGCTGCGAAGTACACACACGTGACTACCTACCTCAACTTTAACACAGGCCAGTGGTTTCTAGTATCTGGGTTTTTGATAATTATTAAGATTGAATTTTAAAGTGATCAAGTACACATTATGGTCAAAAGGACATATGTTTGCACAGTACAAGTTATGCACTAAGCTGTCTTAGTTCAGGCACTGGGGTGGTCACTACCTGAACAAGAAGGGAGTAGGTCCCACACTGAGCAAGGAGGCTGGTGCCTCACTGTGAAGCAGCCCCGTTTCCAAGGGCTTTGCAGCCTGCAGGTGCTACAGACAGGGGGATCTCACTCAGGTGGAATTGTCTTTCACTGCTGCTAGCAGAGTTTGTTTTAGCTGCCATCCTGCACAGCTTGTTCCCTCTGAATCATTGGGCAGAACTGTCACTCAGCAGAAAGGCGCTCTTGAGCTCAGTTAAAAAATGTTTTGCTACAACCATATTCTTTGTTACGGCCTATTTCAAACAAGTTTTCAAGCCCCTTCTGAAAAGCCTTTTCTGGAAAGCAGATTTTTTGAGTGTTAGTAAATTTTTGCCTTAGACTCCCATTATTTGTTCTCTAAATTGTAGTTTATTAGGGTTTTGCACCTGCTCTCCAAAACACAGAGCTCACAAACACTGCTGCCTACCCAGCAGAGGGCGTTTTCACAAACACTGCTGCCTACCCAGCAGAGGGCGTTTTCATGTGGCTTTTCTTTGCCTCTCCAAAGCAAGCTAAGCTGGCTCGAGCGCCTAAACAGATTTCTTCCTTTTACCAAAATCATAGATGTCCAAGAATATTTGTCACTGGATCAGACTTCTGTTTAAAACAAAACACGTGCCTCATGTCAGCTGCAGAGTACTATTTTCAAGACTACCTGAGTTAGGAAAACACTGTTTGAAGCAACCAAGACTCTGGGGAGCCTTCATCTTACCTACCATGAGACTTAGGGGTTAAATCCCTAAACTGCTGCTACAAACAGGACTTTGTGTCCTAAACTGTACACTCCTTTTGAAAGTATTTCATACCTTCTACATTATAAATGTATCTTCTATATGAGCCTGTAACTGGCAAGCAAGACATTTATCACCGCAACTTTTTGAAAAAGCACTGAGCCAAGTAACATTCCAAACAGCTGCCATATCTTCTAATTTGATTGCAAAACTACTTTCACAGCATAATCATTTTACTCTGTGAAGTTGATAAAACCATTATGAAACTTCAAGCATTAACTTTTAGATAACAAAAAATGATATGCTGAGACATGTAAGCATGAAAACAAAGTGAAGATAGATGCTGCCAAGTCCTACCTCCTGAATGTGGGCCACGATAGCAGCTTGTGTTTCAATATCCAATTGTTTTATTCTTTCAATAAATTCTTCTTTTCTTTCACACTGTTAAAAAAAACACTCCCTGAAATGATGGCACAAAACTGAAGACTTTCTGTAACATTTTCTCATTTAAAATAGAAAATCTTGTGCTGTTAATGACAACATGTTCAAGATCTACAATTTGGCACCCTGTACGAGGTAACACTTTGTTGCACAAATGGAACATGAACTGAATTATGCATTGAACTCCTGAAACTTTTTACAGCCAGCACAACTAAGGCTAAGTTAAAATGGTTGGTTTTGCTCTTTAAGAATAAGTCCAATGCACAATGAGATCAAGGGATGGGGTGACAGCCAGGGGAAATCACCACAGTTTCTTTAATGAGGTGCACACATGTAAACTGGGTGAGTACAAGCCCTACATTTATACTGCATCACTTATCCTGCCTGCTTAGAGCTTTGGCAATGAAAAGAAGTGCATCGCTTTAGACTGTGCTCACATCAAGCCTGCATTTTGCTTCTTGGGAATTAAATCAACATGTGCTTTAGATAGAAAATAGGACTGAGGAACTTTCTGGACAAAAATCAGTTACATTTCAAACAGATATGGGCAGGTCTTCTACTGATGATTTTAAAAGAATCAAACATGTCCCACTCTCTACATCTGCAATTGTATATTAATACCATTGCAGGGCAGAGTTGTTATTAGAAGGCAAAACAGAAGTTAAATATTTGAAGTGAAACTACTTTTCTACCATCTACAGGGGCCCTTTTGGGTATGATTCTGAGTCTCATCCTTCAATTTACTAGGAAGAGGGCAAGAACTGTAAATATGGGCTGAAGATGAAAATAAATAAATAAAAAAGCTTGCCAAATCAGACCCTTATGCTGCAACGTAAGAGCGGGATAAGTTCAGGGCAGCCATAGGAAGACAGCATTACCGTGACATAATCAACTTGACATAGCTGAGCAGGGTAAGTGTCCTATGGCTCGACAAAAACACCAGCCCAACCAGCAAACAAGGTCAGCGAGAAGCAAAGGCCGCCGAGGCCCCATTGTTCCCCAGCCGAGGGCTGCTGGGCAGAACACACATTTCTTTATCTGAGCACTGTGGGTGCCACTGCGGAGCTTCCCATCTATGTGGTCTGTCCATTTATTTTAATAAACACTGCATAAAATTCTCCACATGAATATACAGAGTATCTATTCATTTAGGATTTTCTACCTATGCACTATTCAAAGAAACGCAAAGAGGATTCATTAAACAAATGTGCTGAGACTGTTAGCTTATTTATTTGCCTTGCACTAGCACATACTATTACACTCTTATATATTTTAAAATAGCATGAAAATAAACCAAAAAAATCTTTAGAACAACACTATTCAAAAGTTTATATTTTTGTATTCTACTGTTAAAGTGGACTACTTAGTTTCAAAATTACACATGCCGTGATTGATTCCAGTATTGGCAATAAACTGGGACTACTGCTGCAATTTCATTCATCTACTGCATCTTTTCCCAGTTTCAGTCCACGTGCTATCTTCAGCTGGAGACCTGCTCATACAGCACTGACCTTTGGCCAGATTTTCCCTGACCCAGAAAAACAACAGATTAAAAAAGAAGAAAAAAAAAATTCTCTAATCTTTAATGAACCTTTACCTGTACGGCACAACCAAGAACCAACAGCAGCAGCTTCTTAATTTCATCCATACTTTTACCTGGAGATAGGCAGAAGAAGGGGAGGAGAGAAAAAAAAAGAAAAAAAAAGAAAAATAATTATGTGCAATATAAACTACACTTGCAAGTTGCCATCTCCAAAGGTAATACCCTCCTGAAAAGGGGATAACACCTCTTTTGAACAAGTACCTCAGTAATATATACAAGCCTGTTTTAATGGTACTGTATTTCCCATGTAACAATACAGTTTGTATGGATTAATTTGAAATCCTAAATTCAGCATGAGTCTTTTCTACAACATGCTACCATCAACTGCATTTTCTGAGGCTTTCCTTATTGATGGGGTTTTTTTCCTTTAAAAGACTTATACACATGCCTAATGCTTGATCCTTATTTTATGATTAACAGAGAAAAAAATGTGTAGCAGCACGTAAGGAATATTACTCTTACGCAAAGAACTTGTGCTAACTTTGAGTGATAGCTACTTCATAATTACAAATCTTTCCTAAACTGCAGGAAGTCATTCTGCACACCTAAATTCTCCTTAACAGGTATGTTTTAGAACCTAATTCTGCTGTCTCTGTTCTGCAGCAAGGCATGTTCACACTTTGAAGCAAAAACCCCATGTGCTAAAAGGGATACAAGTGATGTAGAAGGGAGAATTTGCAGCTAACCATATGCTCTTGGAACCATGGCAAGGAAAGAGGCACAAGCAAGGAATCCTGCTGCAACCACAGCCCTGCATGATTCCTCCTAAGGCTAAGAGGAGAAGACTGCATGGGGAAACTGGCATGGCCTTGAGCCAACTTCACATCTTTCAACAAAATTAAAGCATGGATTGTTGGGGAGCAAAAAATATATATATATCAAAGAGCTACAACAAGAGACTAAAGGCAAAGGGCTTCACAAAGATGGAAATTCACTGTGCCAGCTAATAAGAACCACCAAGATTTGAAATTAGACATTCAGAAAAAGTCTGACCCTCACCTACACTAGGTAAACAAGAGGAAAGAAACAGGCTATGCAGTTTTCTCCCATCCCTGCATACATTTGTTTTTAAGTGTAGGATGAACATTCTCCTTTTATAACCTGCTTTCCTTGAGTGTTCAATTACTCATATATATGTATATATATGTAAAAAAAATTCTGAATTTCAAGTTGGAAGCACAGGCAGGACCCCAGAGCGAGGAGTGGAGTCACCCTGCTTCATATGTTGCAAAAGGGCACGGAGAGCCCAAGTGCCAGGCAAGATCCTCACGGGCCCCGCTGCCATATGCAGAGAGCGCTTAGGGAATGTTACACTTGCTGGTTGCCTTTTAACACACATACACCCTAAACAGCCTTTGAACATATCTTACTTGTTAAGCAGATTTTTCAACAGCTTTCATAAAAGCTGATTTTAAAAATCTTTATAGAGTCGTCTACAGAAAGTACTAGTATAGCCTATGGACCTGCACTAGCATCCTCAATTCCCAACTGCCACATTATTTACTCTTAAGACAGCAGGTGAAATTCTCTTCAACAGTGAAGATTTTTCAAAGCTGCTTGTTTCCACTCTAGCCTGTGAATACACTGCTGGCCCTTTCTTTGCAGGGTATGTAAAAACTGCTTTTGAAGGACATGATCTTTCTTGTTCTCCTATTCCTTCTATACAACTACAATTTAGCATAAAAATATCATCTCAGTCTGTGATCATTTGTGATTCTAAATCACATAACCTTAAATGTAGTCAGTGTCATAAAAAAGGCTACTTCATGAACGGTGTTTTACTTTCCCTGCAATAACAGATGCGCACGAGTGACACTGCATGACACTGCAAGGTGCACTACCCTTAGTTATTACCTAGGTTAACTCAACAAGGTCAACCTTGCTCTCCACCCAGCAACTGCCCTCACCTAGAGACCCCCAGAGACCTTGTCTCAACCAGGATCTGTGACAACATCAGCAAGAAATGGCAAACCCTGTGGCAAGGAAAGCCAATGCAGAGTTTATGGAAAGCAACGAGAAATTAAGAGGCCTGAAGCAATCATGAGACCATTACTTTGCTACAATTTTAAAACTAGCCTTTGGCTCTCCACAACAGCAGCTCTCTCTCTCTCAAAAAAAAAAAAAAACCCTGTCATATTTTTCGCAAAATGTATTTTAATAACATTTTTATGCTTGTAGACATGCTACATACATGTAACAAAATAAGGCTATGGTACTCACTAGAGACTTTTAAGATTAAAAGGTCTAGTTAACACATCTACTCTGTAGAGCAGACATAACTGTTTTAAAAAAAGCTGTGCATGTGCCTTGAGCAATGCTTCCCTCCATAATTATAAATTCAAATAATTATAATTAGGATTATATTAAAATTATTCAATAAAGTACAATTTGGGTATTTTCTATAATCCCAAAATGACAGATTGATAAATTAAGGGAAGTATTTAAGACAGTTGAGCTGTGAAAAGTTCAAGGATCTGAGCATAAGAAAGGCTTGGCATTTCTTGCAGACATACGGAACAGTGAAATATATTTGGGTAGAAATGGTACAATAACTTTAAAGCACTCGCATATCATTTATACTCAGGATAGGTTTCAAGCCTTAGAGTAACATTATTTAGGAGAGATATCTAGAAGAAATAGAGTACAAGTATAAATCAACTCTCCACCCCTTTTAAGAGCTTTACAGAGATTTTTCCAAGTGAATCCCAGAACAACTCAGGAAGGGCTTGATTACGTCTCTCCCATTTCCCACACACGAGCTGAGGTACCCAAAACCAGCGCCCAAGGTTACCCAGTAACTCTGAAGCACATTGAGAACCATGACGCAGTGCAGGAACTAGGATTCATGCTCAGGACTGTGTTCATGCTGTAATGAACACTGAACAAAAGCAAGTGATCTTTAGCCCTAACGCAATTATGCCCCTCGTACAGTAATTCATTCTGGGATGTTTTTCAAAAGGCTTGGCTTGTGTTGATGTAAGGAGGTGGTAAAGCCCCCCTGTACAGCGTAAGCAGAAATACGCAGGTCCCCTTACGCCAGCTCAACAGGACAACACAAGGCCTTCCTAGTTGGCCAGGAAGAATTGTCTGGGTCCACCCAAACCTGTCTTAGCTGACCTTACCAGGAGAGTTTGAGGTTTTAAGTGTTTTTTTTGTTTGTTTCTTTTCGTGTTTGTCTTGCTTGAGATGGACCTCTTTCAAAGCTCTCACAGCTGCTCTCAGATTTCATATTTGCACCTGCAAGGGAACCAGCCAACCCAGGAGATGTGCAGAGAGCCCATCTGCTCCCAGCAGCAAGATGTCAGGTGGGAACCCAACCACCACCTAGGCACTCTGCAATTGTTTGTGCACTGCAGAGCCAAGAGATGCCCCTGCTGTTAGAGAGGACCAAGTGAGAAGCAGATGGCAGCATCCAGGGAGGAGGCAGGCAAGGAGATTAAGAGACACCATCATCACCACCACAGCTGAGGATCATGGTATAGAGACAGTAGAGAAGAATGTGGAAAAACAAGAGGGAGTAGGAAAGGAAGGAAAGATAGGAGGGAAATGGGCAAAGAATGGAAAGGGAGCCCAAGCAGGTGACACGTGGGGTTTGTGCAGCTTCTTTGTGCGTGTTTCAATGTGATTTTCCTCCAAGGGATCTGAGGGAAGGTCCCCGACGTGTATGGTGCCTGCAGGCAGCGGCCAGGGGACCTGTGTAGCAGGTGGGAAGTGGTGAAGCACACAAGCACTATTTTCCCCAACTATAGCAAAATCATGAAAAAAAAAGCAGCTTGAATTCTAGATTTGTACTATTGAGGCAGTGTTTTGTTATTAACTCTATATTTTAATGAGCCTTTGTGCCTCGGCAGGCTTTTGAAACAAAATAAGGAAGGAAACCAAGCATGAAAAAACACCCCAGTGGGAGACTACATCTTTTATGATTTTAATGGAAAACTGTTCCTGTGGACTTTTATTAGCAGGAATTTAGGCGTCAGTTGTACACAAACTTAACTTGTAATTTGAAAAAGGTATCAAAAAGGTTAAAAGTCTTGGGGAAGGGAGGTGGGGGGGAACTATGACTGTTTCAAAGATTAACTGCCATCACTTTCCAAGTGCACTCACCAACCGAGTTAACCTAGCATGCCTGGAAACTGAGAAACTAAACTACACAGTGCCTCTAAACAGAGGTTCAGGACTGCTGTTGTTTATTGATAATCCTTGCAGAGGCATGCAAATGAACCTGGCCATTTAAAGCATACTGAAAAGCAGAACAAATTAAAGAAGATTTCAAAGAAATGCACTCATGATCAGTATGCTGATGATTCTCACACTGAACATGGCCATATTTGTGGTCTCCTGCAGAAGTTTCCTAAATCCTTTAATTAAACTTTGAGGTTTTTCTTCAGCTCCCTACATTCTACTTCATCTTCTCATCAATTATCTTTATAGCTTTTATGCTCATGGACAAAGGAACCGTAGCCAAAACTGCCCCAGCCTAAAACAAAACAATTTGAAGGACAGGAGAGCAGGTAAAGCTCCTGAATCAACAGACATGTACCATCTCTTGTGCAAAAGCCCAACTGCCATAGCACGTTTAATAGTGGCAGCTCTGTTTTTGCAATGGTCTCACATTCAAAGTACAGCCATAGAAGCCCTCGGTAGTCCTGAACGCCAAGTGACAAGTGGGGGCTAAATAACAAGAACAGCATTCTCAGCTTTAGAGCTATTCAGTTTATGATTTAGTACACATAACGTCACTTTTGGCAGTGTTTCAGAAGGACAAAATAAAATTTGCAGATTGAACTGGCAAACAGACCACTCTGAAGCACCATGAAACTAGGAATAAGTCAACCGGATGCACTGTATAACGATTTCATTGAGTGATCTAATAACCCTCTGATCTGGGTTGTGTGGAATAAATACAGAAGCTGAGCCTTCCCAGTTCAAACAGTACCAACCAATACTCTATTTGTTCCAGAAATGTGACCATAGGATGATTTTTTTCCTCCTCACTCTGCCAAGAGGAGACTTTCATTCAGATAAATTACCTAGGGAAGGCAAAACGTTAGAATCTCTGTTTCTCAGATCGATGCCAGCCACTCAGACCACCTGCACCTCATCCTCTCCAGAATCTATTGCTGCCCAGGTTCCTTTATCCATCACTGCATCTGCAGCTACCTCTTCCAAGACCTATTTCTTTCCTTCTCAATTTCTGTCCTGGACCAATGACAGAGAAGGCTTCTCTACCCTTCCTGCCAATTTTAAATACCTACTTGTTAAGTAATTAATATCTGTCTCATTCCTCATATTGCTGTTATCCTAACACTCTCACTCTCCATGAGCTTTCCCTAGGTTCCTCTATATTTACATCAAAAAGCATCACTTTCCACGTTGATGACTGCTTTATCCTCACATCTCTATTCAGCTTTCAGTCCTCCTCTACCTCTCACCACATCTTTCATTTCACTTTTTCCCCAAACCACCCCAGGTGCTGCTGCCTTCCTCCCATTCTTTTCTGTAAGGCATTCAGTATTAAAAAAACAACTCATAAATCTGACAATTATCTGGTCATCACTCACCAGACACACAACTTCCCCCTTATTTTCTTCTTTGTGAATTCCTTTCTACCCATTTGTTTAATTTCTCAGTTCTCTTCTCCCTGTACTCTCTTTCCAGGCTTTATCGCCTATCAGCCAGGCTCCTCTTCCTGAAACCTCTGCTAGTTCTCTACTTCTCTAACAATTTATTCTGCACATTTTAGTGACGTGTTTACCCAAGGTGAGGGCTTCTCTTGAAGCCCTGTGCTGAGATACTCTCCTCCTCGAGTATGCTCTCGGAAGCAAGTAGTCTTTCCTCTGTCTCTGTACACTACCTTCCTCTGCAGTGTACAAGCTGAGACTTGTTCTCCAAAGCATTGCATAATACACCCAAGTGAGAACTTCACTTTTTCTTATGCACACATATCCCATTATTTTCAGTCATCCACCTATTCCATTTTTGTATTATTTAACATTTTCAACATGTTCTGCTGAATCATGCCATCAATATTAAGAACAGCTAAAAAAGTGAAAACATTACATTTCAAAAGACGACAATAAAATGACACAGAAGTTTGTTTTTAATCAGAGGAGTTAGGCATAAGAACACATGGGTGATAATATCCTTTCTACAAGGAACATGTTGACGGTGCTTTATTGAAAGAAAGAGTGAAAGTGGATTAATGTGCTGTCAGGAAGCAGCAGGTCACAGGGCTCTCTAAAGTTAGTGTTTTAGTGGAAGTTGCACAGAAATGCAGGGCAGCTTTTAAGGGTGCCTACTCCCCAGGAAGCAATGCTGTGGCTACTGCATTACAAGCCTCCTGCCTGCTGTAATTCAGAAATGGCAAGGACAAAAATCTAAACAGCCTTCCCCAGTGCCACGAGCCAGCCACCTTATTGCCCCAGATATTGCTATCCACTAGGATTATTCCTAGTGCGAGCAGTCCAGGCTCTGCCCATTCCTCTCTCCCCGCCCACATGCCTAAGATGGGCAATAGCTCAAATCCCCTTCAGGGCCCTCCCCAATTCCAGCAGCCTGTGCTGCAGAATTCAGGCTGGCAGCACAGACTTCGCTCTGCTTCTTGAGTAAGTAAAGTAAACACCGGATCCTCAGCTTGATTTTACTGCAAAGGTATCTGCAAGTTTATGACTCTCAGTGATCCAACATCTTTAGGTTTATCTCCTTTTCTGATATAAACCCTTCTGCTATAAACCTACAGATTTCATTGCTGCTAAGAACAGCAAAAGGAACTCTTCTGCCAAAGCCTCTGTCACTTGCTTATTCTGGACATGCTGGTTACCATGTCATCTTCTATCACTGCTGATTCAGTTCACCCAGTTTTCTTTCACTTGTAAAAAAATGTACTGCCCTAGGCACTGGCATGGGAACAGAGATGGAACAGGCATGCAGAAATAAAAATCTCAACCCCAAACAAACTCTTCATTTTCAAAGTGAGGTTCCAAAGAGAAGTCAGCTTCATTTTTCTGTTAATGAGCATTCATTTTGTCCCACGAAAGATATGGAAAATTGGCAAGAGGAAGTACACAGGTAAGGGCCACCCTTCCATGACAGCGACTGAGGAATGTACAAACAGAAACTGAGGCACAAAGTTCCTAGATGTGCTGCACACTTCCTCTGAGCTAATACACATAGCACATGCACTCTCACCTTCATATACTAGATATTGTATTTGCTTATGTAAGTATGTACATTAAGTATTTAACTGAGACTCAGGAAAAGTATTAGTATGCAACTACAAATATACAGAGTTTGGTTACAAGTACTTTTTATTAAAGAAAATAAGTACAAATTTTACTTAGCATTTAGGAGCAGGGGCAGGAACTCAAGTTACTCACCAGAAAGTGGATCTTTGCCAATCATTAAAACATTTGGTAAATTCATTACAATCAGCTGCTGGAGGACCTCCTAAACAAAAGAGAACATGAGGCAGAGTTGAGCATGAAGGAATCCCAATCAATCACATCACAGCATGCAGGGCTCCATCGATCCCCAAGCCTTTAAAGTGCTGGCAGCCAGAGGTCACAAGAGGAAACCCCACTTCAGAGAGAAATCTCTGTTTGAAGATGGCATCAGGTTGCAGAGCTAACATGTACCCATTGCTTCCTTTAACAGCAGTCAGTGTAGAGGGTACAGGGTCCCACGGTGCTCATCAAAATACACCGACCGCCATGCCAGGGTACACCCATCAGTCACGCCTCTTCCCCAGACATGACCTATTTTCACTCGATGTTTAACACACAGCTGTTGTCATGTCTCAGGGCTCACAAACATAGCGGGTTCATCAAAGGTACCTAAGCCTGTCTGTGAAGTCTGAGTATTCCAAATAATAGGTCTAATTATTTCATGGTATGAAATTTTAAAGATGGGCAGGATAACACACAGGATGGGAAGAAGAGGAGCTAGTGAACAGATACCTAACTGGCTTGGAAAAACTGGGCCTAAAGTTTCAGATTTGCTTTTGTTTTTAAAGGGGAAGAAAGCAGAGGTTTAAGTTGCATCATAAGCCTCATTCAAATGTTGTCTTATTTACAGAAGGAGGCAAAGGAAACCTCGCATTGCTCAGTCATGTTTAACACTCACACACCAGCTGCCTGCAGCTTCACCAAAATGTCTGAAATGATCTTATGAGACAGAGAAGTCTACAAGCTGTGGGCAAGCAAATGCTCATAGGTAGACAAATAAACACATTGCAAAGGGGGCTTTGTGTAGCAATATGCTCAGCCACAAACCCAAATCATTTTCTGTAATATTTAGAACCCAGAAATATGCTACTAGCTTTAACCAGCAGTTACTAGCACTCATCTGAGATGATCTGAATAAAACATTAGGCAGGCAAGTATTTTATTTCACAAACAAAGGCTTAGGAGGAAAATGATTATGTGACTAAAGTCTTGTGCAAATTCCACACAGAGCTACCAAATGTTTGGCAGGTGCCTGGCCCCTGCTTGTCTGAGTTTCCCAGGCCATCTCCAGGCCACCAGGAGGGCACACGCACTAACACTTGCATGGAATTCAGAGCCAAGGAAAAAATACTGAATATAGGAGCACATTTCCTGAAACAGTCATCTATTCACTGAAATGCTTCCTTTCTGAGTTACCAGATTGTTATTTCTCTACTTTCAAAGTTACCACAGAAGAAAAATTAAATCTGATGGAAAGAGGAAATATTTCTGCCCACCTGCAACATTTGATAAGTAATCAGAGTGGATGTTTAAAATCTGTTATGGATGTAGCACACTTTCCTCCAATTCATATGTGCATCAGTCTAATCAGCAGTAATTTTCTGGATGAAGTAGAAATATTTCAATGTCACAGCTGGAGTTTTTTTGGTACTACTAAAAGCAAAGATCTCCACGAAAGGCCAAGTTTGACTAGTCAGGACTAGTCACTCAGTAAGTCACCAGCCAAATGCATTTATGGTTTGCACACTGAAGCTCTGTGAAGAAAGTCTATTTGACACTGCTCCCCACCAGGTACAGCACAGATGGCGTCTCGCAGCACACAACTACACTGCAGCGTTCACTCACACATTTTCAGCACCTGCATCCACCAAACTCTCCAGCTTTAACTAGTGACATCCATAGCAAAACAAAAAAAAAAAAAAAAA